AAAATCCTGCGAGGCCAAGAACCATTGCGCCGGGTTCCCGACTATATAGCGCCAAATGGAGTTTAGGTGTAGATCCTCGATCGTCGATCATATTATATGACTTTAGGGCTTGAATGTTTTATATATTTTGAGATTGGGAGATTTTCATTATCTTTTTGTCTCTACGCCCCGGAAAAAGCCCTAGTTTCTTCTATTCCCCCCTTGGGATTTCTCTTTTTTTTCTCTCTCTTCTACTATCCACTCGTATACACTCTTTTTACCCTTTAATACTCTACTAGACCCATTCAAGTACTGGACAATACGTATACTTGATCGATCTATCTTATTCTTATTGGAGTCCTTTTCAACCAGCTCGTTCTCTTCTTTTTAAATCCACCGTTCTGCTTCTTTAATATTGTGCCCTGCTTTCCTGCCTAATTACACTTAATACTGGGTTTTCCCTCCCCCCCTTCTTTCTGCTCTTAAATAATTTTTTTGGTTCTTTTTTTTCGTCCTGTTTTGTCCTTGTCAATTATATTGTGTTCTGGATTTGTTTTCTCTGTTACTTAAATCGGTGTCGCGGCTGCGTCAGAGGACAAGATTTGAATGTCTACTTGAACCGCAAGGATCACGTCTCATCCTTTCTTTCCCTCCTATCTTTCTCTCTCCCACCCCCCCAACCAGGGTGAAGACTTCGGTGGGAAAAAAAAAAGGTATTTTTGGAATCCCCCTCAAAAATCATCCAAGCTGGCATACTACGCAAGCCCACCGTTGTCCCCCAAGCATTGGGCTGAGCTTGATCTGCACCGATCCTGGGATAGCCTCATGGATGGCGATCAACGTATGAAGCAGAATGAAAGGTCAATGTCTCGGTCTGGAAATGCCGCTCGCAGAGCACCTGGTGGTGCAACAGATGGGTTTGACCCGGCCATACAACCACGTGGAGACCAAACGGGGATGTCGCAACCCCCGGAGCAAGTCCCGATGTCCTACGACTACGGATACACAGGTAGCTCTTTCCACGGCGGTTCCCTACAGTCGAATGACTTGCATAACTATCAACCCCAGGAGTATGTACGGGCTCAACGACCTCAACAAGCGTCGGCTATTCAACATCAGCGACGGCGCGCACAGCCTCCGGATCCGGCTGTATTCTCACCGTACGATTCTACCATGCTGTATGGGTTCGGTCAGCAGGGTCCAACCCAAGGACACTTCGAGGTTGTGCCACAGTACCAGACACGGCAGTCTGCAGCTATTGATGTCCTGTCGAACCAATTTGCCGTTCCACAGTATTTTGCACCAGAGGAATCTGCAGGGTCTGGGGTCGCAGAACTCTCGCCTTATCTAAATGCGCCACTCCAGCCTTATAACCAATCGGGCCCCATGGCACGCCCGAACACCACCCAGTCCTTTCCTGTACCCATCTCTGATTTCACTGCAATCGGTTCCGGGTCCATGAGCCGATTGGATCAGCCCCAAACAGAGTCCCAGCAACAGGAGTCGGATCAATCTAGCCTGGAGGAGGCCATCGGACGATATCAACGCATCCTGCGCCGCACTTTTGATCAAACACGTACCGGAAGATTGGTAGAAGCCGGAGGATCGCTGGTAGAAATTTCCGAGTGGCTTGTGACCAATGCACGGGATCTTGGTAAGATGCCGTCTGTTTTGTCGCCAGTTTCTTGTTGTTTTCTTTTGGTCCCGTCGGAGAAGATAGAGGAACAAGTGTCTACGGTTTACGAGGATTGTCTTCGTCTAGTAGCACAGAAATCGCCCTGCCAGTTGGGCCCTTCTTTTTTTCTTGTGGTTTTTGCCCCCAACGGTTTCTCAGTCTGCAGACACGCGTTATGCAAGAATACTATGACACTTGAGTGGATCTAGAGTGAGAGGCTAATCCGTCTGATGTGATATGTAGGCCTCCTCCATGACGACAGCATCCAGTACTCCGACCGTCTGAGGCTATGGAGCGAATTCAATCTATGCTGGCTGGCCCTGTGCCAAAAGCAAAAGGATTTGATTCTGGAAGTGATTGCAACAAGTCAGCCACCTGCGCATACGAGTCTAATTCGACGAGACCGCATGGAGACTATGGGAAGAGACCTCATTCAGCTATGTGATCAACTTGAACCACACGGATTGGTGGATTATCAAATGGGAATATGGGAAGAAGAGATACTGTCCGGTGAGTTTGCGCTATACTCCCATGCACCTATATTACCTCCTAATCATACGAATCTCAGTCTTGGGTCAATGCCTTGATCTCATGGACAGCAGGCCAGACCTTCACCACATCCCTGCCAGACCCGAAGCCACGGCAGTGCCTCGACCATGAACCAAGTCCCAAAAAGGAAACAGAAGAAGAGGAGAAAAGCCGAAAACGAAACCCGCAAAAAATTTCCAAATGCTCCAACCGTCACAATGAATTGGGTCCACTCCCAAATACGAAAGACAGGTGCCCTGACGATCGGAGAGTATACGGCCAATATCACCCAAGCGCTGCCGCCACGGAGAGGCTATTGCTTACTAGCGTCGCGCCAACCCCGATGTTGACATTTAATATCGCGGAAGAGGTAACTGGTCGCCTCTCGTCTCGCTGGGCACCAATCAACCTCCCATTCACTCTTATGAGAGATCAACCCGCCCCTCCTTCTGACTTCGGTCATTCTTTTCGTTTCCTCCACAAGAGGGGCGATCATTCGCGGCCTCTATCTTGGTCTTTGATGCTTGGTCCTTCCAAGTTATACCTATCGCATATCTCGCCCGGGCTAACGAGGCGGCTATGTGAAATACAATGTCGCATTCTCGTCATTCGCCATCAACCACAATTATCGCAATCTTCTTCTTCCCCGCTTTACCACCCCTTACTATACCCCTAATGACAAATTTTGACGAGTTGTACATAATCTCATGGTCTTTAATCTGTGGGCGGTTCTCTGTGGCTTCTGCTATTCTTCCCTATCTAAATTCTACCTTCTCTATCTCTTTTCTTTGTATTGAACCGATCTGAACTGGCTTTGCATTGGGGCGTGGGCAAAACGAACAAAAGGTCAAAGGGCATCTGGCGCAAACATGGAACGGGACCTTTGTCTTCCCGTTTTGGACTTGGGCTTGGGCTTGGATTTGTGCTCGTCTCGATTATTTTCTCTTTGGTCTGCTGAGTGATCCGTGTTGCTTGTTGCTTCGGTGTGCGATATGAATAGTTCAGCTTGGCTTTTGGCTTTTTGAATTTGCATCTCGAGCTCGCGTATCCTTGGAATTGACTGGATTGGAGACGGAGTCAATCTGTTGGACATCAAATATGAACTATTTCCACTGTTCAGGGTTGGCATATTAGAGGAGGTGGGATTTCAGTACTTATTCAAACTATTGGCTGTAGGACCCGGTGGCTCGGTCTTTGCCCTAATTGGTGCATAACAACCATGTTCATCCTTGCTCACACAGCTTTGCCGTCCAACTTGGATCCAACAAAATGTTCCGGATAACTCAAAAGTGATGTCGGACCACACTGGCATCGATTTCAACATCTGATCCCGTGTCTTTTTTCGCCTTGCAAAAAATAGGCCACTACCCAAGACGAGGAAGACGTATATGTATCATACGCAGGTGGACTTTATCATTCACTTCTCTATACTTGCCCCAATGTTTTCAGTGGAATATCAAAACCGTGGGTCTCGAGATAGGTATACAACACGCTGATCTAATCATTCAATTCAAATTCAACGTAAATCTTGGAATTGATGCCCCACATGCATCGAGAGTACCGGATATAAAACAAGTCGCGAACTCGGGGTACCGTGGTGGAATAATACAGTAGTGGAACAAAAAGGAAGTAGGAATTGCTCGAGTGATCTCGCCGACCACTTCAACGCTTGACCCAGGTAGGCATCTTGCGGGCCTTGACGTGACCAGGCTTCTTCCTCTCGACGCGACGGGCATCAACTGTGATGGCACCGGCTGTACAAGAATTGAAGTTAGCAACTGCGCCCTTGGAATGGGATTTAAAGATCGAAGCAAAGACATACCCTTCCTCAGAACCGGCTTCAACCCAGGCTCATGCAACAGCAAAGCCCGACCAAGAGCCACTGTAATCGCCTCAGCCTGACCAGTAACACCACCACCCTGTACCCGAATCCAAGCATTATACTTATCCAAGCGCTGTGTACACCTCAGCGCCCAAAGCGCACTCTCACGATCATGGACCCGCTTAAACACCTCCACAATACTCTTTCCATTAACCAGCACCTCACCCTCACCCTCCACAAGCTGCACAACAGCCGTGGACTCCTTCCTCTTTCCCTTCCCGCGAGCGCGTCCATTCTCATCTACCGTCCGGGGGACATTCTCTACTGCGTACGGGTTACCCGGACGCAAGAATGCTGCGAGTTTATCGCGCACCTCGGTAGGCACCATATCGGGCTGGATGCGATTCAGCCGTTGCAGGATCTTGACTAGCGACTTGTATTTCTTCATGGGAACGGGTTCGCCCACATAATCGCGGAATTGGGCCAGCTTGAACCACGCCATGCGTGGTGCCTCGCTGATGGCCACTGTAGGGAGTGCGGCGTGCTTCGCTTGCAGAGCTTCCAGCTGCAGGACATGGTCGATGAACCGCGGGCTGCCGGAGAAGTAGGATGGGGAGGAGGGAATGATGCGGGCGGGCTTTTGGCTGAAAGAGCCGAAGTTAATTTCTGGGGCTGCAGCCGCGGGGACGGATTCGGCTTCTGTGGCGTAGGTGCGCGTGCGGAGGGTATTGAGGGTTGTTCGGGAGGCTTGGGTCGAGGTTTTTGTGAGGGTGGAGGTTAGGCGGAGGGATTGCATCGCCTGTGCGAGGCTGCTTGGTTTGTGCCACGTCATGGCTGGTAGAATTGGCGGGGAATTCGGGGCTGGAACTCGGATCTGAGGTCCTAGATGGAGGCCGCAGATGGTCTCCGAGTGTCATGTTTTTTGTCTGGTCATGTGACGTGGCTACGGCAAGATCAGTTCCTCCGAACACCGAAGTCGTCCCGCCAGCACAAAAAACTTGCTCGCCCCTCTCATTCCTCTTCTTTCTTTTTCTTTTCTCTTCATCTTCCACACATTACATTCAAGATGGCCTTCGGAAAGCTCTACGGTCTGCCTGTATGTTTCTCTTCGACTCTGTTGCTTTGATTTATTATCTAATGTTTTCTAGGACAACGGTCGCACCCTCTCCATCCTGGTCGCTGCTAAGCACAACGACCTTGACTTGGAGCTGGTTAAGACTGAGCCCAACTCTGCTGCTGAGTTCAACACCAGCGCTGAGTACCTTAAGATCAACCCCACTGGCAAGGTCCCCGCCTTCGAGGGTGCCAATGGCTTCACTCTCTCTGAGGTCATTGCCATTGCCGTTTATGGTACGTTAAAGTTGCCTCCCTTCGACACACTCCACCACACCCCTCGGTCCATTGTTATGCCTCTCTTCTTTATGATGAGACACCATTAGTTATCCCTGTCTGAATTATAACTATTGTTATAACAACTGTTGAGAAAAAACAACTCTGAAAAAAAAATTGGCTACCCCGCTCTGCGGGAAAATATGGACTCGACCTCCCCCCTCCCCCTTTTTTTGCAATGGGCAGATGGTGCCATTGGCATCTCGAATTGCTCTATCGCTGGATCCATCCGGGTTTGAAGCAACTTGACTAAATATGTCCTGTTCATAGTTACCTCTCAGAACGAGAAGACCACTCTCCTCGGCAAGACCAAGCAGGATTACGCTTCCATCCTCCGCTGGATGTCTTTCGTGAACACCGAGGTTCTGCCTAAGTTCGCTGCCTGGTACCGCCCTCTGTTGGGCCTCGAAGGTTACAACAAGAAGACTGTCGATGAGGCCGCTAAGGTTGCCCTCAAGGCTATCTCTGCCCTCGAGACTGACCTCACTGCCAACACCTACCTTGTTGGTGAGCGTATCACCCTGGCCGATATCTTCGCTGCCTCCCTCCTTACCCGTGCCTTCGCTACTGTCCTTGACAAGGCCTGGCGCGAGGCCAACCCCGCCACCACCCGGTGGTACAACACCATTATCAACCAGGCTGCCTTCAAGGCTGTCTTCCCCGAGCCCAAGTTCGCTGAGGAGGTGATCAAGTACGTCGCCCCCAAGAAGGAGCCCAAGCCCAAGGCCGCTGCTCCCGCTGCTGCTCCCGCCGCCGTTGACGCCCCCGCTGCTGAGCCCCCCAAGGCCAAGCACGCCCTTGAGGCTCTTGGCAAGCCCACTCTCATCCTTGACGACTGGAAGCGCAAGTTCTCCAACGAGGACCCCCGCACCGTTGCCATGCCCTGGTTCTGGGAGCACTTCAAGCCCGATGAGTACTCTCTCTGGAAGGTCAACTACCGTTACAACAACGAGCTCAAGCTCACCTTCATGGCCAACAACTTGATCGGTGGCTTCCAGACCCGTCTTGAGGCTTCCCGCAAGTACCTCTTCGGTGCCCAGTCCGTGTACGGCGAGAACTACGACTGTGTTGTCTACGGCGCCTACATGACCCGCGGCCAGGAGTGGGAGCCCGCTTTCACTGTCGGCCCCGACTTCGAGGGTTACGAGTTCACCAAGCTCGACCACACCAACGAGGCTGACCGCAAGGTCATCGAGGACATGTGGTCCCAGGACGTTCCCGTCACTGTTGACGGCAAGGTCAAGGAGTGGACCGATGGCCACGTCTTCAAATAAGCGTGTTCGCCCCGATTAACTATTCCCATCTCCTATAAAATTTCATCCCCCAATACCCCGATGGACGTGCTGTGCTCGAAGACACCCCTACGCCTCATGTCCACTTCCCTCTTTCCTCTGCTTGAAATTCTTTGGGATTATCCAAATATCTTGACCATTGGTCTTACGTGTTGATTTTGAATCACGGTTATGAATACATTGCGACGCGGAATGATGATTGACTGAGCTGGTTTGGATTTTTGCTGCTATGACAATCCCAGCCAGCCAGGTCGCTGCTAGTTTAGTTCTAGCAATGACAAAACAGAGACAATTCTCTAATTTCTTGAGTGCAAGATAACATTTCCTGCAGTCCTGAAGGACCACGTAGCATTTTCTAATAGTAGGTCTTGGAGCTGTCCAGCTTGCCTATGCGAGATGTATGCTTCTAGCCAGCACAGTTGTAACACAACACTTCAGACTGGTCTCCTTCATCCCCTTCACGCTCCGTCTGTTTGCTACCTGCCCAGATGTAAATAGCCAGATAGCTACCTACTGCTTCTTCCTTCTACATCCTCCTCTCACCTTCATCATTCTGCTCGTCGGTACGTCAATCAAACTGTCTTCCTTTGAGGTGCCTATATCCTCTTACCTTTCCCTTGCCCTTAATCATCACATCTATTCCCGATTTGACTAAATGATGTAACCACAAGTTCTTTCATTCTGTGGCAATGGCTTGTTTATTGGTGATGCACAAGGCGATCTGGCAGACTATCTCTGGCCATCCTTAGTGCTAACAGCGGATGATTGTGTATCGGTGATTTGGTGAGGTGAGTGAGATACAAGAGTTAAGTCATTGATCTTTGACTAACACATCACATCACAGATTCTATTAGGATACACATTGTTGAAAAAGCAAGACATATATAGGCAGTTTGCCCCTGCCGTCAGCCTCTGCCTCCCACCTTCTCCTCCATGTGCTCAGAACAACCTTCGACCTTGGAGCTAGTCGTCTTCAATCTCCGATCTTTCTCTCGGGGTATCTATCCCATTCACAACATGCTGGCTGAAGCAGTCTTCTCCAGACCTGCCAAATTCAATTCCGAGCACAAATTGATCGTCTACAAAGGCCCGAAACACACCTACACAACTACACGGCGCCGATCATGTGAAAAATCAACGGTGCGGCCCGCAAGAAACCACCGCCTCCAACAGTGCTGGTCCTGACAAAGCAGACAAGATCCCAAGCAAAGCGTGAAGCTGATTATCATCTCTGCCCTGTCTCAGTACTATTCCAAACGCATTCGAGATCCTGGATCATTCGCGCAAAATGTCGTTGTGCCAAATTCAACTACGGCACGGCTCGAGTTCTGCTTGCTCTGAGGGGAGAGACACATCGCGAGAGGTGACTTGCAAGAGGACCAACAGACCTGCTCCGTCTTAGTGTCTTTTAAACGAACCCGAATCCAAAGTTGTACTGGAGATCACATGTCATTCGCCACATTGCAGCCGCTGGAACACTCCTGGCCTGACAAGCTTTCGGGTTCCCGACATCAAAGCTCCCATTGCCTTTCTACGGGGGATTATCTGCAAACTTATCAGGACTTGACATCGTGAAAGTGACATCTTCATATACGTTACGCGTTCCTGTTTCCTACGCAAGATTGTGGGCAGCTCTTACATCGTAGCCTAGTGGTCCGATGTGAGGTCAAGACTCGGGTTTCCAAGCATCGATCTTGGGGACATCAGTGCCGTAACACACGCAGAGTCTTGTGGTCCAACGTCTCCGAGATGAAAAAGTGACGATATAGGCAGCAAGGCTTTGCTTGCGTGCAGATGACAGGCCTATCTCACGTCGTCCCCAGGGAGGGTATAAAGGGCTTCGTGGGGATCGGTATGCCCAACGACCCAAATCTCTCAATCTACTTTTTCTTTCTCTCTCCAGCCACGGAGAGATCTGCGTGCATCAAGAGATGCCACGGAGGGATTGAGAGGTCGGTTTCCACAAAAGCCGAAATTTCGTGGGAAAAATGTCAGAAGTACTCTTCTGTGATGACTTCTGATTGTCCAGGCTCCGGGCCACAGAAAAACCATCGTCTCGACTTTCGACTTCATTTTTAAAAGGGGCTTGGAACTGCCAGCTCTAGCAGCAGGCGTGTGGGAAAGTCTCGAATCTAAATGGCCTCGTTGCAAGCTTGACATTCAGAGTTTGGGAGGAAGAAAAGTGCGAAAGTTGAGATGGGGGGGACAAATCTCTTGATCGTTAGGTTCTGTGGACACAGAAATGCCCTGCTCTAACATGACTAGGACGATGGTGATGAGTACAAATGCGCGTGGTAGATCAACGACCACCATAGACTCCAGACCGTCTTTGGTTCAGCTGACTACGGGACCAACTGAGACTACGAGTAATGGTAGAGTGTTAGACTTGTGCGGTACCTGGGTAACAAAGTTCCCTCAACGAGCAGTGCAGGGAATAGTCGGCTATGAGGATTTTCCACGGCCTAGGGAAGATGCAAAGCTGTGGGAAGTGGGAGTTGAAGACAGGTTTATTAGGCAAAGTGCTCAGAGTGAAACTAGAACCTGAGGGAACACAGAGACATTTGGGGGGTAGAAAAAGCCGTGGAAGGGATAGTGTTGCCATGTTACCATCGAGTGTCCTGCTATTCTTGTAGTCTCATTCTTCAGTCTACTTCACTCTACATATAAACCAAGACTGACATGGTAGAGCCAATGCCTTGACAATGTGTGCATACGTATGGTTATCTCAACACACAGTCATCACTGGTCTAAACTATCCACTGGGACCTTTTAAAGAGGCAAAAAAAAAAATTACACAGGGCGGGATATCTGTGAAAAACAGAAACGAAAGACAGAAGAAAATTGTCCCTCACAGAATCCAAGTATCAGGCTTGAGAACGAAACCTCAACGCTTCGCAATCCCAATCCCAAGCCCCTCCTCAAGCCGATCAAGCAACGAATTGCTCGATTCAACCGACGAAACTGGTGACAACTCGCGGTTGTGCTTCGCTCTCGACGTAGTCACGGCATCCGGCGGAACGTACGTATCAACATCCAATTCCATCCCCACAGTCACATCTGCGTCTGGAGGGAGATATTCAGGTGATAATCCGCTTCCTAGGATGTTTGCAGCATTGGCGGCGTGAGCAGCTGCAGAGGCGGATTCGAAGACCGTCTTGGAACCGGAGCCAGAAGCAGACGCAGAAGCATGTTCAGCACTAAGCTCGGGAGGAGCAGCAGCAACACTTTTCTTCCGGAAGTTACATCTTTCTTGTGCAGTCTGAGATCCAGGAGGAGGCGTGGGAGGATCAACTTCCCGCTGCGCCCTTCTGTCTGCGGCCTTCTGTCTGCGACGAATGGATTTCTGGCCTGTGCCCATTCGAACATGAACCTGATCGGATACTTCTGGCTCGTTGCTGGCGACGGATTGGTTGCTCGTTACGTTGTCGTAGCTCGGGGTTGGATTACTGTGTGTCTTTCGGGATTCTGCTTCAGCGGCGGCTTTTGTGGCAAGACTGCCCTCTTCCCTGGCTCGTTTGCGCGCTTTGCGAGACATTTTGATTTCAGTCTTTTGGTCTTCTGTTTTCTGCTGGGCTTGTGTTGGTTTTGTGGCTGGTAGTGTCGGGTTGGTTGTTGCAGTACTGGCGGTTGCCATGTTTGGGGTATTATTTGCGGTGGCCGCTTTTGCTCTGAGCTTGGCTTTCTTACTCTTCTTGGCCATGGACTTAGCAGTTGTAGGGGCAGGGATGTCTCCTGAACCATCGAGGGTCATGGTAACGCCATTGGAGCCGCCACTCAACTGCTTCGGGAGGAGACTCATCCCGCCATCCTCATTGTCTACAGAATCTTCATGGAGCCCAATATCCAATTCCAGAATGCTACCCTCGCCTTTGTCCACACGCTCGTTCCAGACGCGTAGGACCTTACTTACGTCATCGTGGTGGGCGAGATAATCAAGCCGGGCGAGGACCTTTGCGAAGAGCTTCGTCTCATCGATATTGGGATCATCGGCGAATTCCGGAATCTCGAGGATATTGAACGGCTCGCTGGAAGCCTTGAGCTTACTATCGTCAATGAGGATGGTGTTTGTCTGGTCCCAGCGATGGCCCGCGGGGAGCTTTGCAGCCTCGGCCTCACGAAGCTTTTGCTTGCGATTCTTGTGTGGCGGCTTAGTGCTTGGTGATTGGGCCGGGGGATCTTTCAGATGCTCATTGCCTGGGAATGCGCCTTGGATATTTGCTTCCGCCCAGACTTTGTGCAGCTCCTTGTAGACCTGGAGCTTTTTGTTGTATTGGCCGGCGGTGAGGCCGAATTTGTCGCGTCCCCAACGGGCGACGAGAGCGTCATGCATGGGACCTGGGAAGATCTGGTCACAGACTGCGTTTACAGTCGGGGGCTGGGAGCTGGACCAGATCATGACTTTGTAGTTTTTGATTAGCATGGCTAGGAAGTGATCTAGACCGGTGCGCCTGGCGAATTTCGGTGGAAATTTGCGAAGTTTGCGGTAGATTAAGGTGCCGTTGAGATCGAGGATGATGAGGAGTGGTCGCTTTTCTGTCTTCTCTGGCTTCAGCGAAGCTTGATTTGTGTATTGCAGTGTTGGAAGTGGGACTTTGACTGGCGGTGTTGGCGATCGTTGTCGTTGAAGATCAGGTGTGAACCGTTGTCCTGCGCTACTGGCCATCGTGCTCATAGGTCGGGTGTTTTGGAAGGGTGGTGGGGTATTCATATCGAACGGGAGGAGAGGAAATGGGGGTGGAAGTGGCATCCCGCTATCAAAGCCAGGATACACCCAGGGCATGTTCTGCGCCATCTGGAAGAAGGCTTGATCCATGCCCATTGGATCTTGGGGCAAAGTATTCAAAGCGCCAAACAATTGTTGGCCTTGTCCTGAAGGCATTTGTGGTTGGTGCTGTGGCGTGGCGGGAGGGTGGCCCCGAGATTGATAGGCATGTGATGTTTGATTGGTTTGTGGAATCTGATAACCAAAAATCGAGTTCACATTTGGCGCAGGGGTGTACTGCGACTGTGGAGGATTGCCTTGCACAGGATAGTCCCCATACCCCACCCTGCGATGTGTATGTCGAGGGGGCGCATTGCGGTCCCAGGAGCCATGTGACGGAGCTGGCCGGCTGGCCCCCCGTCTATTATTTATTGATGCAGGGTTCATGTTCACCACATTATAAGCTGAATTGGCATACTGCGGGATCGGATTCGACTGGTGTTCGAGATCAGCGGCGTTAGACGCACGCTTCGATCTTTTTTTTGCGCGAGACAGCTTGAAAGACGTGGGACGTGACGAGAGCAAAGTAGAGAATCTCAGTCCGGATTTCAAGGTACCCGAATATGACTTTGTAAGAAACTGTTTAAAAAGCAAGTCAGAATAAATCAACAATTGGCGAACATGCTATCCACGTAGCGGATGGTAGTGGGGGCAATACCTGATTGGTTGCTCTTGGAAGAGGCTGAGAGCAAGGCGATGAGATATCTGTAACGAGGGAGTGAGGGAAGGCTCGACCACGCAGAGCGTGTAGGGACATTTACAAGAACAACAAACACAAATTGGTTAAGAACGTTCGTCGCAACATCAGGTCATCGCGAAAAATATCTAATCAGTTCTTATCGCTTTGACCGCCCAAAGCGGCAATATTTTTCTTTTTGACAGTTCTTCCTCCGCGGGGGTTTCCAACTACAGCAACAACAAGATGGCTATTTCTGATATGCTCAATCGCCGAGTGCGAGCTCGGCCAGAAGATGATGAGGTCTACTCTGAGGCATCAGGGTCTGAGAAGGGTTCACAAGATGACTCGGATGCTGAATCCAACGGCTCCATCCGATCAGTAAGCCAAGCACACAATCACGTTAGTATCAAAGCTAACAAACAATTCAGCCCCCAGATGACTCCGAAGCCGAGGATGTAGGCACAGGCTCCGATTCTGAAGCCAGCAACTCCGACATCGAAGAAGAGCCCGAATCCGAGCAAGACTCCGGCGACGATTTCAAAGCCTCCCTAGCCGAAATATCTTTCGGCGCCCTTGCCAAAGCGCAAGCCTCGATGCGTGAGAGGAATCGCAAAGAAAAGCATGCCCCTAAAGAAGACACATCCTCAACCCTAGACGACATCCGCACGAAGCTCCGCGAAGCGCGCGAACAAAAGCTCGAAGCAGCCTCTAAATCCAAAACCAAAGAAAAGAAAAGAACCTCCAAGCACGCACCGATGGAACAATCCTCCAAACGGGCCGTGACGCGTAAGCGCACAGTCGTCGAACTTCCCCCCACGCCGCGATCCCGGGACCCGCGTTTCGACGCGGCGGTCATGGGCCACAGCGGGGTTGGGAAGCACCCGCATGGCGGAACGGCGTATGCGTTCCTGGACGAGTACCGGGCATCTGAGCTGAATGATTTGAAGGAGCAGATGAGGAAGACGAAGAATCTTCAACAGAAGGAAAAGCTCAAGGGGGAGATTCGACGGGCGCAGGACAAATTGCGGTCTGCGCAGAATAAGAAGCGGGAGGCGGATGTGCAGGCTGAGCATAAGAAACGGGAGAAGCAGTTGATTCGGGAGGGTAAGAAGGTTAATCCTTATTATCTTAAGAACTCGGAGTTGCAGAAGCAGGTCCTTGAGAGGAAATATGAGGAGATGGGATCGAGGGAGCGGGCCAAGGCGCTTGAGAGGAGGCGGAAGAAGATGACTTCCAAGGAGAGGAAGGAGATGCCTTGGGAGAGGAGGGGGGCTGAGGGTGGTCATGATGGAGGCATGCCCAATGGGGGGAAGAGACGGAGGTTGGAGTAGACCTTTTTTTTTCTCTAAAATTGGGTTACGGCGTTGATCTGTTGGGGCATGAAAAGCACATAGTCTTATACATTTGAGTATCCAAAATCTGTCTACTTGTCCACGGATGTGTTCTATTATGATCTCGAGTGAGGTGTGAAGCATTTGAATCACCAGTCTCGGAGCTGACGGCCAACACGACAGCAATAGCAAAGGCTTGCAAAGAGAAGAAAATGTGGCATTTGAAGGAGGCCAATAAGAGGCAGAGAACTCGTTACCATAATGATTCATCTCCCAAAAACAAGTCCAAAAGGTATAGTACGAAGCACATAGAACCGCCAACGCCCAAAGCAAACTTAATGCAGAAAAGAACCCGAACACAAAATTTTTATGGGGTGCCAAGGCGCCCTGTCGATACTGTCATAGCATAGGTAACATGATATTGATGCAAGCATAACGGGTGTGGTGGGAAGGGTTTCCCGACTCGATCGTCCAGGACGAGTCGGAGATGATGGAAATTCACATTTGCCCAGGCATTAAACCATTCGGAATTGGACTTGCCAAGGAGACCAAAAGGGTGCCTGGGACTTGAGAGCATCAGAAGTCTTTGCATTCCAAGGCAGTAAACTCCCCAGATGTGATAATAGATACGATGATGGCATCAGCGATGATCGGTTGGGTCGGACATTTGCTGGCAAGTAGGTTCGAGCAAATTCCATCATTGCTTGAAACTTGCCGGAGCAGAGCCAGCCCTAGACCTCTGCAATTGGCATTGCTTCTGAAACCGAGAGAGCAGTGTCGTATCACGAGTGGAACAGATCCCAAGCCCGTGCACAGAGACCCAAAAATTCATCCTTCTTTCTCCGCTGCGTCTCGGGCGAGTCTCTTCCTGCACCGAAAGGTCCAGGGAACGAAGCATGTGGACCGGGCATGGCAGCTGGGTTGGACCGATATTGAGAGTCGGGGCCATGACCCAGCGGTGGACTTCCGTTGTCGCGTTCATACTCACTCCGAGGGCGCCGACGTGCTGTGGCATCGGATGGAGCGAACATGCCAAATGAGGCAGGAGGCGGACCGTGTGGCGCTTGGGGTTCTGGAGCAAGACTCGTAGTCTTGGGGCCTGTGTGGAGTATTTGTGGAGATGGCGGGGTGGGAGGTTGGTGACCTCCATAATGGACAATGCGAGGCAGCAGCTCCTCTCGTCCACCGGACATCTCTTGCACGGCCTCTTCGGCTGAGCGATATTCGCGTGGTCGGTTGGGAGTTTGGGACATGCGACCTGGCGGACCAGGAGAGGGTATCGGCCCCAGGTTGTTGGATTGGGAGGAGTTGGTGCTCGATGCATTCAAGTGGATATTAGCGAGGCCGGAATCCCGGTCGCGACCCAATGCATCAGAACCGAAGACGTCGGAGAGAGGGGGGAGACGATTGTTTGTTTGAGTTGCCGGCAGCTGATGCATGTGGGAGGTCGAGCCCAAGGTCGGACTCTGATTGACAACATGGCGAGTCAATGGTTGTGGCTGGTACCGGCCAGTGAAAGTCTGGTGAAGCGGAGCAGATTGGATGACTCGCTCGTTTGCGAACTGGGAGGCGGATGGAGGGACGATGGAGAGGCCGGCCGGAGGTCTACGCTTTCCGGTTTTGGGCATACCCATCCCATTCGACTCGGAAGGCTTAATACCGTCTGGACCATCATCTTTGGCAGATCTCTGCATGCGCTGTTCAATGATCGACCGCTGCTGATCCCGCACGGAGAGGCTGCGCTGCAGCTGCTCTCGCATGATCGGATCGTGGGTCTGGAAGCCAGGCGACAGGCACGCCAGGCCGACATGTTGCATCGAGGCTGTCAAAGGTCCCCCCGGAGGACGAACGGACAACCCACTGGAGGATGGAAGACTAGTTGAAAGGTCCAACTTTCGAGGCCGGGGCCGACTCTGCATCCGTGGGGAGGAACCGGGTTCCTTCTTTACAGTGATTTGTGGGCCTCCGTTGCCCTCTTGGGACCTACGAATCATGTCAATACGTGAAACCCCGATTCCATGATAAACGTCTTGACTTACGGAGACGCTGGACCTCTCTTCTCGGTCGGGGAACCGTGTGCCGCGGATCCATGCTTGGGGCTTTTGGACATTCGAGGCGGAGAGAGATTGGACGGGACGTTGTTCGGAGGAGCCAAAGACGGAAGGTTTCTCGGGCTAGGGTTCCGAGTAGGGTGTGGTGATGACAAGGGGGCCGCCGCTGCGGATGCAACTGCGGTGGACATGGTCGGCGGAGACGATGATTCGAGTTCCTTCGGGTATAGTATCACGATGCAAGTGATGGTGCAAGTAACAAGTACTTCACTGTGTATTGACTCGATAAATCTCCTTCGCAGGATGCAAGGGCATCTGGAATCGACGCGGGCAAGGTTCGAAAAGCAGATCGAAACGTAGGATCGGCCAGCTCGATATATCCAAGTCGGAGAGTGGCAGAGAATCCCTCCAAGATGGAGAGATAGGCGGTTAGGCGTCAGGCGGCAGTGTGACAAAAGAGTCCAGAGATACAAGCGAGAGAAATGGACGAGAAAATGTGAAGGAGGGGGGTCAGCAGTCTGGGCCTTGAGGTCAAACGGTAAAAAAAAAAAACAAAACAAAACAAAAAACAAAAAACAAAAAAAGTTCAAAGGAAAGATGAGATCCAAAGCTATCCAGGGGAGGGGGGGGGGGGGGTTAATACTAGTACATGTAGCCAAGTCAAAGTACCCAGTACGTTGAGCCCAAGAAGTACAAAGAGCGGAAAGAAGTAACAGCGGTCACCCCAGCTAAGTACCAGATACCCGACTTTCCCCCGGTGGACCCGACTGAGACACGATGTGTTTCTGGGAGATGGGTGTTCCAGGGGGATCCACCGTTCATTTTATTTTATTTTTATAGTCGACTATTCCAAGTTTATGTAGATGTGTATAGAAACTACTTGACTCGAAATGTAGAGTGTATTCAAATTTGGAGCACAGATGCTACTTTTAATCTAAATCTCCGTACTATTAATTTTTCTCTTCAATAGTTTCAGAACCTGACACCTACTGATTTCAATTCCTATTTCCAGCCCCATTTGCCTTTTACTTCGATAATTCGCCCATTAGGATTGTGGGTCTCCTTCTCTGACACTCCGTATAACAAGTAAATATGACTACCTCCTGATTGTCTAAAGTTTATCGAATCATATCTAACCCCAGACGGCACATAAAGAATCGAAAAAAAATACCCTAAAAAACCACATCACATCACATCACCTCCATCCACTCGCACGGCGTTATATGTCAAACAAGGCGCAGCGGGCGCTTATATAAGGGGCCAAGTACTCCGTGTGTGGCGTCGAGACAAGTCACCTATGCGGGTACGACACCCTAAACACCACTGAAACTGAGACTGAAACTGAAACTGATTGAGAAAAAACCACCCCCCCCCCCAAAATTGGATTGATCCAATTTGGAGGATCTAGTCTAGATATGCTCACAGGTGACCTTATTTTAGAGGATCACTAACACCATCCTGCTTACTGAAATTAGAGATGCCCACTCGATTAGTCTGTCACAGCCCTGCGTTCGTAAATGCACAGACCATGGGTGCGTGCCCGGGTTCCAGCGCTTGCATATTATCTGTGCAGTTCTTAAATAGGTGATGCCCATGTCCATGTTGAATATACTCTGTCCTAATGTACAAAAGTACCACCGGTGGGATGGAAGATGACAAATGGCTTCTTCTTTCCCAAAGTTCGGGCCTCGGGCCATTATGGATCCCTGAAAAATCCTTTGGATCCAAAGTACTCCGTACCAAAGCCCAGCATGACCTTTGTTTCATAAATTTCTTACTATTGGGACTATTTGAGCTTTTCATAAGGATCAGGATTCAATTATTAATTTATCTGAGATGAACACCCTTGTCGGTGGACATGGACTATCCAACTCGTTAGTCACTCCAGACAGGTATAGGTCCTGTAGGTAGGTACGGAGCAGGAATGGATCATTCATTCTCCATGAGGAGTGCAGTCTTGTGCATGTAAAGAGGCTCTATACTTGTACCAGGTTCCCAGCACGGTCATGTGGGTGTAGTAGTGGGGGACGTAAACAGACGATGATTCACTTAGACTGTAGTAATCTACCACAACAGAGATTGGGGAAATTCTCAACAGACCATCTTATCGAAGTGACACATTCATATAGGTAGAAAACACACAAGCTCTTGGAAAGAATCATCGCACCTTGGATCTTTCACCACGGACAATATCGTAACCAATTCATAGAGGCCCAAAATAGCAGGCGGTGAAACCCGACTATCGATAACCCACCTTTTTTTCTTCGCGATGATCCCCGACTTGGAGGTCCAAATCCTGCAAATTTCCGAGGCTAAAATTTCAACTTTCGAAGCCAAGCGACAGTAAAGAGAGGAACCTACTGTCTGACAAATTCTGACACAGCCACCCACAAACCACCAACTCCACCTCTACCTCCCGCATCGACTCCAACAGCCCTCGACAAAGCGTCGAACTCGTTAGATCAAACCTACATACCTCACACCCTTCTCCAAAGACAACCCAATGCCTGCATCAGTCCATTCCCAAGACCTGGACCAGTCCATGGTCGACGCAGAGCAGGCCATCGAGCTGCCCCAGTCCAATGACCCCATCCTTGAGGAGAGACAGATTGTCGTGGTACGTATCTGATCTGCGGAAATCCGAATTGATTGATATAATTTACGGGATCTCTGGATATACCTAGTTTAAACAAAAGCTAATGCCGTTATTTCTCACAGCTCCCCGGCGCCACCGAAACCGCCGCCTCATTCCAGTTCGAAGGCGAAGGCCACACCATGGGCAATGCGCTGCGATACGCAATTATGAAGAAGTGAGTATTTGCGCTGTGCTTGCAAGACTAGATTTGGGGTTGATACCAGGTGTTTTCTCACGAACATTGGAATCCTCGGTCTGGTCTGGAGAAGAAGAGGATCGTCACTGACTGGTTGAATAGCCCCGCCGTTGAGTTCTGCGGTTACACCATCCCCCACCCCTCGGATCCGAAGATGAATGTCCGTATTCAGACTAACGGTATGTGCTACTACGTTTGCTATTTTCTTGTCTATTAAAAGAATGGTGTGTTGGAATTGTTACTGACTGCGTGGCTCCAGATACGACTACTGCTCTTGAGGCTTTGGAGAAGGGCTTCAATGATCTGATGGACCTGTGCGATGTCGTTACAGAGAAGTTCACTGCTTCACGTGATCAGTTCAATGCGGAGAGTGGTAACCGTATGGAGGCATGAGTTGGCTTATTTGCAAATGTATTATTAAATTGGCGTTTCTGGGTAGAGGGAAAAGTACATTTTCTATCTTGGGCATGAGAAGTGCTTGTTTGGGGTTTCTTTGGTATCTATATATACACATATGCACGAAATACTTGATGAAGATAGAGGGGTCATTCGTATGATGTGTACGAAACTAAAGATTTCCTAGAAGTTCATGCTGCCGTAGCTTAGCATCAAGTCTCGAAGCCTGGCGTATGAAGAAAAACTAGATAGGAACGAAGTAAGATAATGGAATGGCTTATTCAGACAATATATACACATCATGTCTATCGATGGCGCAGCTCCTTGAAGTGCCACATCGCGGACCAGAAACGAGATGAAGAGGATAGGAAACGAGGGAGAAAGTAGCAGAAAGAGGGATTTAATTGCGACCCTCAAGGAAACCAGAGACGAAGTTGCGGGGTAGCCGCGCGCCAGGGTCTTCTTCTGGGCGGAAGTACTTCATAACATGAGAAAGCTGCTTCCAGTAGTTGAGCGTTTCCTGCCCAGAATCCATGTCAGCATTTGATCCTGAGATTGCGAGGAATACCAATAATGGACAATCAAATAGCGACAAGGGAGAAGCAACATTTGCATCTCGAAATTGTCCTCTTGAAAGAATCCACATGTCCACATCATGTATCTCGACAGAGAGGGTGGACTGGACTAACCTGGAACTCGGCGTGGCTCTGAAACAGCAGCACATCAACGACAGGCAGTTGGCTGACGTAGCGGTGCTTCTCAAATTCCTGGCGGATCTTCGTGCGGATGGCGGATACGGGCATGCCCAGGGAGTACATGGTCTGGATCTCCGGGGACTGTGTTTAGTGAGGTCACGTTAGCTGAGTCCATCGAGGGGTCAAGTTGTAGCTTTTCTAAGCCACAGAATTAAGAGCCACTAGTAAGTCCACTCCTGCCATTTCCGCTTGGAACAGAGAAAAGAGCATGTCAAGGGAGAAGGTGTGTCGGTCTAGGATGTCGGGGTGAACTGACCGCACGGAGCCATTCACGGTACGACTTCAGGACTCGGAATTTCGCATCGCCCCAGTTGACAGCTAGAAAGTGAACAGGTAAATTAGCACCTTTTCGCGGGTGGGAGAGACTCCATTGACAATCCCGCCGGGTGGACGGCGGAACGCATCGGGCGTGGCAGGGACGTACAGGAGCGCGAACGCTGCGCCAGGTAGGTAGGGTTGATAGTCATTTTAGAGGAGAGTTGAGTGCACACTCAATCCAGTGCGGTTCAATCACTGGGTGCAGGGAGACGGGGGAGAATTGAACGTGAGTTCCTGAGCTATGAGGGTGGAGGTTTCGATCTGAGGTTGGTGGTGGAATGGGCCGGGCTCACCGCCTGCCTTTTCAAAAAAATTCTTTGCGAATTTGGGGATTATCGGACCGTCTTGCGCGACGTTTCTTTGCTCTTGTTTTTTTTTCGTCGAAGATTTTTCGATAATTCTGATAAAATTGCAGGGCTATTCGGCTCCTCTTGGGTTGTTGAAGTAATTCCAACTCATTTCTCGTCATCCTGTCAATTTTTGCTTTCCTCTCTGAATCCGCCTCGTCTCAACTTAATCAACCGTTCAATTCCTCAAGTGCTACGAAATGGCTCCTAACGTTGGAGGTGCAAAGGGAGGCGCAAAGGGAGGTGCTAAAGGAGGCAAGTCTTCCAGCCTGTCGTCTGCCTCGCGCGTCAGCAAATCGGCCAAGAAAGATGGTCCCAAGCGTCCCCCGCCCAAGGAACAGAAGACCAAGCCCCGGACTGCCAAAGAAAACCTGAAGAAAAAGAAGAAGAGAGTGTACACCGAGAAGGAGCTGAATCTGCCCGAGTTGAACCAAATCACACCTGTTGGAGTGATCAAGCCCAAGGGCAAGAAGAAGGGCAAGACCTTTGTCGATGATGCGGTAGGTTTTGCCTTTTACTCTCTGTTCTATTAAGTGCACTTTATCAAAGCCTGGTGCTAATACTATCACCTACAGGAGGGCATGATGACAATTCTCGCTATGGTGAACGCCGAGAAGGAAGGTCAGATCGAGTCCAAGATGATGAAGGCACGCCAACTAGAAGAGATCCGCGAGGCAAAGAGGGCCGAGGCTGAGGCCCGCATGAAGGAGAGGAAGAACAAGTTTGACGACGTTAAGGATTCCATTCGTCAAAAGAAGAAGGGCAAGGGTGGTGACAAGGCCTCGGAGTCTACGAGTATCAAGGATAGTATCTCGAAGCCCGGGCGATCAAAGAAGAAGGCCGTTGCATTTGCTTGAAAAAAAGTCTGAATATTTGTGTCTATACTTTGTCTATGTACTTAGATGTCGGGGTTCGGCGTTTTCACCGGTTTATCAATCTATGTCTATCGGAACAGAAACATCATTTGTGCAAAAAAAGCCCCGGAAAACCCCCGAAAATGGTTCGCCCATTGTAAACCATGACTGACCTGTTGCGTTCGATTGTGGTGATGGTAGCAATTGGTTGGGAGGGCGGGAATGTTTGAGAGGCAGCCAATTACAGGCCCAGAGGTAGTGCGAGTTTGCGTCGCATCGAGACGTATTCGGGCTTAGGTGCCAGATCGGGCTCTTTGTTGGCGCCAGGGTGGCTGGCAATATTTCCAGGGAGTCGTTCAGGGTGTTCGACAACACCAGGAATACTAGTGTCGATTTCCCTAGCCATTTTGTTCAAGAAGTTTGCCACCTGATGGAAAGTTAGTATTGTGTTCAAATTCGATGCCAATGGCCAGCTTCGAACTACACACCGGCTTGACAAACCACCTGTCCCCTCCGAGCTCGAACCAGCCTAGATGACCACCCCATGATGTAGTCAGCATGACTCCATATGGTGTTTGGGTCATTTCCTGGTAGGGAAGAGCCTCACGGCAAGCAATCTGATAAAGTCAGCGATCCTATCACGGTTGAGATGGAAGAACTTGGATAACTTACAGGGTCATCCTCTGCTTGAATGCTAAGGAAAGGAATCCTGATGGCGAGCATGGAATCGGTGGAAGTGGCGTCACGGTAATACGCTCCTTCGGTGGGGTAACCCCAGGTCGGACATTGCAGAGCTCTGTTACATGTTAGAGTCGTTTTTGTTTTGAGATCACGGATTCTTCGTACCGGTCGAACTCATGGAGGTAAGTAATCTTTCTTATGGCATCAACGTCGATCCGGGGATTTGTGGAGACTTGATCAACATGTCTGTTTTCCTTGTGGTTAGTTGACTTTGCACATCGGCCGAACAGACACGAACTCACGCCTCAAAGAGCTTCTTCATACTAGTTCCCATAGTTCTACTATAAACCTCTTTGCCAAGCAAGGTGCTTCGCAAAATAGTAGAGCTAATATCCAAGTTCCATGGGCTCGCACAAATCACGGCTGCCTTCAGTTGACAGGCGTCACCTTCCTCTCCCAGATACTACAGTGTGTAAGTGAGGGGGTTTGGACAGTCTGCTTTGCGGGGAGGGGCGCATACATTGGTGAGGATGTTGGCACCGAGTGAGAAGCCAATTCCGAAAAGAGGGCGATTGGGGAACTGCGCCCTGAGCCACTTCACAGATTGGCGGACATCCCAGGTAGCTCGAGCGTTATAGAGAACACCGGTACTGATTTTAGTCTCTGCACATCCTCTCGAGTTGACAACACATGCTTCCCAGGCACCTTCTTTCACCAGAGGCGCTAGGACTTCCCGCAAGTAAATTTCATGGGAGCCACCACTCAGACCGTGAAGAAGCACAAGCATAGGCTTAGTGTCATCTGAGGGCAACATAGCAAATTCCTCCTGAGAGAAAAACGAGGTGCGTGGTGGCAACCCTGACTTTTGGGTATGTTTTCTCGCTTGATCAATAAGTTCCGGGTCTTGAGGAATGTCGTATGGTGCAACTACGAAATCCATGGCAAAATGGCCGGTGAACGCGGGGGTGTCCGACTCAAACATTTTGCGCTTGTAGTAAATAGGAACAGTGTCGTATTTTACAGTGGTCCAGCAAGTCTGCAGGTGCCCATTGAACAAGAAAGGGTTTAGGTTGCACGTTTCTGGTGTGGCAGACAGACAGACATCCACAAACGTAGTTTGTTCTTTGACACCCGAGGCGCCGGGAACTTTGGTTAATATCAAGTGATTATCTTTGGCGTGATAAAAAGCTATGCGGCCCTTGGGACGCAGCCATGAAACCAAACCCATGGCGATCAACCCGGATAAGAGGACTGATAGGGGGATTGAATTCAGAAGTGTTGAGATGATGTCGAGCATGAGGGGTATCTAGACACAACAGAATGCTGGAATTGAGTTAATGGACAAATCGATTTCTCAATAAAGGCTGTTCAACGCTGATATGCTCTTGAGAAAGAAAAAAACTGGCTTGAAACACAAAATGCAAAAATGCAAAATCATGGATCCAATCTTTGATACCAGACAGACCTCGGCAAAAAAAAGTTATGCTTGGATTTTCCGCCCAGGCCCCTGAATTTCTGCCGTGTGCCCATGGTTCAAGGTTGAGTAAGCCAATTTCCAATTGATCCCCATACACGTGATGTATAGACCAATCAGGTGATCTGAGTCTTAACGTTGGCTTAGTCATGATAGTGGTGGGGGGCCCGAGGCCCCAGGCTGCACGGGCACACCTGCTAATGGGCTTTTATTTTGTTTGTCCTACACCAGAAGTCAGTTGACGATGTCATAGCGCATACAAGGCCCAGGCTCGGACTTGATGCAGGAAGCCCACCTGGTCTAGTGAAGGGAAAATTTTGTGGGCATTCCGCTGAAGATGAAGTGATGATGATAAGATGCTCAATGCGGCAATTTCCTTTCCGCATGCGGAAGCCCTAAATTCACTTCCGGCGTGAAGCACAGGGAGTTATCCCCAGGTCTTCCGACAATAGCAATGTTCCTCTTAGAATGGACCTAGTTAAATGTAGGGTTGAAATGTTAAAGTATCCGGTGTTCTGCAAATAGATCATCAGACAAAGAACGAGCTGAGCCACCAATGATCAGATCCTCTTTCTTCTTTAGATGTAATGCTGATAGCATTAACATCTTATGTGACCCAGTCCCATGGTCCGTTTCCGGGATTCTTTATCTTTCCAGACTATTTCAAGGTCAACATTTCCATACCTTCTCTCTTTTTTTTCCTTTGGTGATGCAGCACTGTTCGTCACACGATGCATCAGATCTCTACTACAACATGATAGTAACAACTGAAACGCTACAATCCTTATTTTTGATTCACAAATCTCTCATGAGGCCTGGTTATCTAATATCTTCGAACGACCTTGGATTCAAGCACCCATGACTTTAATAAGAAAGTCCTCATCCGACATGTCCGATCGTCTACACCGTACCATAGAGAAGTTTAAGACTATGATCAAAATGGGACTCTGGTCCCCGAAGCAAGCAAAGAAGCAACAGGAGGATGGCCATGGACGCTGTTACCTAATGGAATTACCCACCGAGTTGTTGTTGGAGATCATATCTCATCTGACAGTGCTGCCGGAGGCTGCGCTTGCGCTGACCAACAAGCGCATGTTCTTGATATCTGGAGAAGTCCTGCTTTCTAAATCCCTCCGGTTTAGCCGTGATTTTGCGCCGCTTTTCCACCATTACCGCAACGGACACAACTTTGTCACACCCCGTTGGTCATTCCTTAACCTGTTGGAAACCTCCCGCTGGAAATTATGCTCCAAGTGTTTGAAACTCCACCCTCCAGCTGCCTTTTCGTCCAGAGAGCTGAGGCGAAAGCCAGAGACTCGAACATGCAATCTTGGAGAGTTCGCAGGGGTCGTTGACCTGTGCCCATGCAAGAAATTAACTTTCCGCGACAAGCTCGATCTCGCAGATCATGTTCGAGTGCTGCAGGAAATACTGCAACCCTTGAAATCAAAATTTGAGACCGTCATTAACGACCGCTACTGCTGGCATACATGCACCGAGCAGTATGGCCCAACCGAGCTGAAGATATCGTTATTTCCAGAAATCAGTGCCGACAATCAGCTGACTGTTCGCACTGAATATGAGCTCACCACTGAGTCGGGCCAAGTTGGCAAGGAAGACTATATGACACCCCGCTTCGGGTGTGCGCATAGATCGGTAGACCTGTGGCTCTCGAGCGTTCACCAAACCACTATATGTCGCCTCTTCGACTCTCTCTGCTCATCCTGCAAGCGTATATCAGTCTGCAGTGCATGTGACACGACGTTGACATGTCCACGAAAGTCACCATTCCATCTTGAAAAATCTGGCAGGGCGACATATTCATTCTGGACCCAGAGAAGCCTGGGAGGGACGGGTCCAGTTCCTGACCCAGCTTGGGGAGCACAAAGAATCCATCCAGCCGAACCCTCAGTTAGTGTTGAAAACTGCAACGAGTTGTGTCCTTGGACAGTACGTGAACATCCAGCGCTCTCATTCGCGCCGAGCATAGAGCAGGAAATTATCGATTCTGGAATAGGTAATTTACCCATCAACCAACTTTACACATACATCAACATGGTTTAACGGATATGTTCAGCTGCGAGAGAGGCCTTGGCAGCTTCGGCAAGATCATAAGGAATTAGTGGACCAAATGGGGTTCATTTTCCCTCTTGTTTGCGTCTCTTGTCAGTATACATTGTACAATGAACGTCATTTAAGCGTGTTAGGTTTGTCTTTCGTTAGCATCAAGTATCTAGGCAATTTGCCAAATAATTCAATGATGCAGAGAAGAAGTGTTGGGCATCTCTTTCCGTGGCTCTTCTTTTGACATCATGCAAGGTCCTTTGTTGGAGTCCTCAAATAGATATAACATATTTTCCTTGTCTTATCCAAGTGCCTCATTGACCGAGAATACAACACAAACCAAAATTGCAAACCGATGAAAGACGACTTCTCCGTAACTTTTCAGATGTACGAGTCCACAAATACCGCGATGAAGAAGAGTCGCATAATCGCAACTTCTCTTATCAGCTGACCGCCCTGGGGTTTCTCCGGACCGACATAATCCACGCTCACCATCTCGCGCGTTTGACTTGATCCTCGATTTCTACAAGTATTGTCTGTTTCATCGGGGCGATGAGCTACCCACCACCTGGTCCCGGCCAATACCCGCATTATCTACCGCCGCCGCAGTATCAACACGGGCAAATTCCCCCGCAGATACTGTACAATAATGCCGTTCCTCCGCCGCCCCCATACGATGCCTATGGCAAGCCAGCAATGTATCCTTCGGCTCTGACACCTTATCCTTCATATCCATCGACATATACTCCCCAGCCACGGCCACAGCAGCAGCAGCAGACGCGTCCTCCACCGCAAACACCCCCGCAGCAGCCGCTTCATTTACCACCACAAAGTCTCCAGCCACGCCCGCAGCCAGGACCACAGCTTCTCCCTCAACTACAATCCCCCCTCCCCCTCAGCCACCTCCTCCCCCACCTCCGCCTCCGCTTCAAATTCAACAAGAAGAGTTGCAACATCAATTTGTCAATCCGGCTCAACTTTTTGTACAACAACCTTTGCCTACTGCTCCGCGATCCCGATACACCCAACTCTCTCCTCAGTATGGCGAACCACCTTTCGTTTCGAGTGCTAGCCACCCCCAAATACCTCCAAATACTTTGCCAGCTCCGTCGCCAGTTATGCCTATTCATGTGGCCCCTGCTCCGCCTCCCATCACTCCTAAACCAAATACCCAAAATAAGCAAGCACAAACCAACATCCATACACCGCATGCACGCCCTATCACTAAAGCCGACGCCACGCCAATCAAGATCTCTCCCAAAGTAGAGCCCCAGAAAAAACCTTCTACGCCCATTGCGACCCCGAAACGACCCCAGCCTACTCCATCGCCGGTGACACATGCTACACCGCAAGTCATGATCCCAGCTCCTTCTCCGGTCGTTCAAGCCAGAATTCAAACTCAGATTCCGAAGAAGCAGCCTCAACCACAGCATATTGAAAAAATGAGACAGCCGAGTCTGCCAAATATCGAAAAGTCTGGGAAGCCCGCACCTGCCAACTCTACAAAGCCCCCAATCGACTATCAGGTTCTGCTTTTGTCCCTGGCTGATGAGTATCTAAATGCTGCTCATGTTCGTGGAACAACGACATCATTGACCGCTAATGAGACGGACGTCGAGGAATATTACAAGCTGGTTGCTACTGGATTGGGTTGTTTGGAGGCTGTCTTGAAGGTTAGTGAGATGCTCTCTTGAAGAATTTTCGTGTCTATACTAAGCAAATGATATGATAGAACTGGCGATTGCAACCTCGCAAAGAAGCCCTTGTTAGACTTCGCTATGCGCGTACATTGTTCGAGGAAACAGACAATGACATCGAAGCGGAAACAGCATTGAGTAAAGGGGTGCGTATTTGCTTCCTTCCTCCGTTCTCGAAACAGCCACTAACTTGACGCAGATCGATCTTTGTGAACGAGTTAGTCAACGGAAACCTGATGGCGAATTTGTTTTGATCTAACTGTCATAGAACCGTATGCTTGACTTGAAATACAGCATGCAGCACCTCTTGGCACGAATGCTCCACAAGAGTAACCCTAAAGCTTCCTTGAAAGCAGTCGATGGAATGATACAGGATGTGGAAGCGTATGTGCCATTCCACCTTCTTCGACCACAGGATGCTAATAGCTAAAAGGTACCGTCATGCCGCATGGGAGTACGCATTTCGTTTCCTTCGAGTATCACTCTCGTTGTCATCTCCGTCACACCAAGACTCTGTGCAAGCGTTACAACATCTTCACAGAATTACGGCTATGGCTAGTCGTAATGGGGACAAGGCTGTTTCAGCGATGGCGGCCGTTATTGAATCACTTGCGCATTTGCAGCAAGCGACAAATTCTGACTCGATCGAGCAGGCACAGCGCGCTGTGGCCGCCGCGCGAAGCCATCAACTGAATGACGAACTTCGCTATATACCTCAACTTACAACCATGATTCAAATGGTCGATATCTGCTGTAGTCTTCTTGAGTACGATGTTAACCAGTCTGGACAGAAGCTGAAGGTCATGCAGTCTTTGATGGACGAAACACTTAGCGACAGCAACTGGCGTCCCGATGGGTCATTTTCGGTCCCCCTCAACGGTAAATCCGCTGGGCCTTCGTCCATCGATACAGGCGATATCTTGCAGGTTCATAATGGGACATTGCTATTAAGTTTCAACTGGCTTCCTCAGCACGATCTTTATGCGCTTTGCTATTTCTTAAGCTCAATCACGCTCAGTGCCAAGAACTCATATGATGGCCGGAAAGCAGAGAAATATCTCGAGGAAGGGCTTCGAATGGTTCAAAGCAATTTCAAGGCCCCTCAAGAAATCTCAGAATCAATGGTCAATGCCCACCGTCGGGTTCAGTGGCGTCAGTCTCTTTACTGTAACCTTCTTCTTCAACGAGTCTTCCTGGCCTGCGCTCGAACCGATTGGGATCTTGCCAGCCAGACTCTCAGTGACCTTCGACAAATCTTCGAAGAGCTTGGCTCCAACCTTCCGGTTACGATCGAATGTCTGATGGAATACGCCGCGGGCACCATCGCACAAGCAACTGGCGATCTCAAGGCTGCGCTGAACATATTCCAATCACCAATTCTGTCACTGGACCCCGCAACCAGCAAGACAGGACGCAATGACCCTTGTCGTGATACACGCATCCTCGCCGGTCTCAACACTGTCCTCATTCTCCGTGATCCAAGTCACCCATCTCACTCCCTGCTCAGTGCTATTCTCACAAACCTCGAACCCTTTTGCAAAAGCAGTCCAAACAAGTACATACAAGCTGCATACTACCTTGTCTGCGCGACCGTTCACTCCGAGTCCACCATCCAGACAAAACAGTATCTTCAGCAAGCTCTGCAGTCCGCTACCGCAATCAGCAACAGCCAAATCACCTGCATGACCCTGACATTCATGAGCTGGAAGTACTTCCGCGGCGTGGTCGGCGAGCAAGCCGAGAAAAGCGCTCGAGCTGGCCGTGCAATGGCCAAACGAGCTAACGACCGTATGTGGGCGAGCGTCACTGACGACATGCTAGCTGAGACTCTGGAGCGACAGGGCAAGGGCGAGGAAGCGCAGAGCGTCCGTGAGGAAGGCCAACGCTTGGTATCGGGTCTTCCGCCCCTTCTGAGACGTTCGGCCTGATTGACTTTCGTCTACTGCTACAAACATGATATGCCTTTTTGTTTTGTTTTTTCACGTCTTTCCCCTTGGCGTTTAGTTCAGAACTGTTCCTAGGGAGGCGCTCGTTTACGATACCATTTGATGGCTACTAGGGAAGGCGTTTGATCTTCTAGGGATGCGAGCCGGTAAATGATGTTATTGGCGAATCAAGAAACACCTTTTCGATACCCTAAGCACACCTTTTAACCCATCGATACGTAGGAATCGTTCACTCGGAAATGTTGATAGCTTTCAACATGGGGCGTGTATATCGCACTACCCTCGGAAGATCATAAATTGCTTCGCTCCCTATAAAACAAGAAGATGAACACCCGACATCCATGCATAATGTACAAACACTATGGTATAAACCAGCCTGCAGTCCACAGACCCAAGCTCCACCAGCGGAAGCTGGACGAAACATCGCAAAAAGAACAAGGACAACAGCACCGCCGAAGTCAACTCCATGCCCACAGTACGCCAGCAATGTCCGCGGAGGCTTCTCTTATCCAGAGATGAAAGCCCCCCCCCCCCCCCACCACCCCGAAAAATTATTATTAAACTCGAAACCTCGCAAAATCGAAACGATCGACAAAACAGCTCAACCAAGCCCAGCCCAGACACCGCGAATTCTCCGCGCAAGCTGGATGTCTTTCTGCATAATAGTAACGCGCTTCGCGTGCAGCGCGCAGAGATTCGTATCCTCAAAGAGGTGGACAAGGAAAGCTTCAGCGGCTTCCTGTAGAGCTTGGATAGCATGCGACTGCCAGCGCAGCTCGGCACCGACGTCCGCGGGAAGGAGATCGAGTGCGACTTCGCGGACTAAGCGTGCAAAGGGGAGTTTGGCGATGAGGAGGTCGTAGGAGCGTTGATAGCGGCGGATTTCTTTCAATGCGACGGTGCCGGGCTTGTAGCGCCGGCGACGGCCTGTGGGGGTTGGATCCCCGGCTGGGGATTGTTAGAATGGTGGGGGGGGCTTGTTGGAGAATTGCGCAAGTAGAGTAGTATAAGGCGCTCAGTTTGCTAGTGGTAGTAGGAGGGTAGAACGCACGTTGGACGTTATCTGTGACATTTGGTTGCTTTCCTCCCTTCGTCTTGCGTACTTTTGTTGGTGTTCCATCTCCCTCGGCGACTGTCTTGCGCACTTTGCCTTTTTGTGCGCTGCCCGGCGTTGTCTTGCGAGCTATCTTGGGTGGCATTATGGTAAAGGGGGAACGCGCTGTGCGATTTTCTTGGGTGGTGGGGGTGCTGAAAAAGCGATCAATTGGGAGATTTATTGCCTAGCAACCAGCGTCCTGCGGAGTGCCGCCTTTTGTGTCGAGATTTTCCCTTGCAGGAGCCGTGTCCGAGAATCGAGGAGATTAGGGCTTACACACGAGGTTCAAATGAAGGGATTGGGATTAAAAACCCTATCTGCTAATAATTAGACAGTCTTTGTTGCGAAGGGAAGGCTGGGCGAGCTGTCAATATGAACTATTCGGGCCTTAGCGTCCCAGCCCCCGTGATTCTCACGTAAACACGCGTCTCGTGTCTGGCACGTGACGATAAACTGGTCTACCTGGTCTTATCTCCGTCATACGTGGAATGGACCCAGGAGGCACTCTGGAGAGCTCTCAGTGCTCGTGCTGATCATCCGCCGTCATTCCCGCTCCTCTCTTGATTTCCATTCCTATCAGAAGCCACAAATTCTCACACCATGGCCGCTGTCTGGGAGAACAATGGGCAACAGGACCAGTTTCCCCTCGAACAATGGTTCTTTGAGATGCCACCCGTCACCCGGTGGTGGACGGTAGCCACCGTCGCAACCTCAGTCCTGGTGCAGTGCCACGTTGTGACCCCATTCCAGCTGTTCTACAGCTTCCGCTCTGTCTACGTTAAATCGCAGTACTGGCGACTAGTAACGACATTCCTTTATTTCGGACCCCTCAATCTCGACTTGTTGTTTCATGTGTTCTTCCTGCAGCGCTACTCACGTCTTCTGGAAGAAACATCCGGCCGCTCCCCGGCCCATTTCGCATGGCTGATCTTTTACGCCATGACATCTCTCCTCGTCATCTCTCCTTTCCTCTCAATACCCTTCCTGGGCAGCGCGCTTTCATCCAGCCTGGTCTACATCTGGGCCCGGCGCAACCCAGACACCCGTCTTAGTTTGTTGGGACTACTGGTCTTCACTGCTCCCTACCTGCCTTGGGTGCTGATGGGATTCAGCGTGATTGTGCATAAGATCGTACCGAAGGATGAGATGCTCGGCGTTGTCGTCGGTCATATCTGGTACTTCTTCAACGATGTTTACCCACCCCTACATGGTGGCCACCGTCCGTTTGACCCGCCTCGATGGTGGGTCCGTCTGTTTGAGCCCGCTCCTGGGCCTAGCGAGCGTGCCACGGGTGCGACTAATGTGAACCGCGAGTTTGTGGCTGCAGCGGCGCCGGAGGTTCGATGAGCTGTACTGTGCCGATTGATAAAGTGTCGCTTTTGGCGAACCAAAGATCGAGGTTCCTTGTGGCGTCGATTGGAAATTGAAACTAGACCGTACTCAACTAGAGACGAGTCTCACTGGTATAGTAGAGCCCAGGGTCCAACGGGTTCGATCCTGGCCTTGGTCTTTGCTCGAGGCTAGCTTTGGGCCATTGATTTGAGAACTGTGAGCCGTGCATGGGGGAAGCTGAACATCAGCGAGTCTTTTGACGCTTTTCATCTAATCGTGCCGGCATTCGATATGATTCGGCCAAGTTGTGCGTGAGATATTGGTTAAACATGGAAACCGGCCACGTTAGAGCTATGTCAAGAAGTTGTATGATGGACACTGGCGAGGGATCTGTCTGGAGTAGCTCCCTTCTATCTGATGATGTGGGATGTTGCCCCTTGGTCAAGTCCGCACCATGTGATCTAGCTAACAGAAGCAAGGACTAGGACTTTTTCCTTTTTGTGTTCAAGACCGTGCATGTGTTTTTTTTAAACATTAGGATAGCCACAGATACCCAGATGGTCTTTCGATTTCTATGCATGCTGGTTAGAGCTGCATGCAGGCGCAGACTTCCAAGATGACGACAGGCACCAAATTATTACGCCCTCACCGAAGACCTCCAGGGCCTCATACGACAGCATCTGATTTTGCTCTGTCCCTCGAAACTGTATACTCAAACACATCCCCTGTTTGTTCACTTTCACATGCGTTAAGGTAAAATAAAGTAGAAAAGCACCGTGTGATTGCATGCAATACCAGCCACTATCAAACCTCCTTATAGAGGGCCGGCAGGCGCATGATCACCCTATTTTTGGACATGCCAAGTTGAGCACAGGGCTGTGCCGCTCGATCTTGCATATGTTGTATGCATAGGTAGTCTCAACAGGAAGGCAGCAGAATACCATCTAGTCAGCCTAGTGATCTCTCATCACGTTAGGTGCTCGATTATTCTTAGAAAGAGCTGTTGTGACATGATCGAGGGTCACAGCGTCAGACCAAGCATGCCACGAGGCTTATTAAATCGTATGTCGTATGTCGTATCTTGTTCATTGTACTCCATGCAGCGCCCAGCGCCCCGTGCATTTCGTGTATTGGTCCTATAATTCAATACAACACCAATATGGTGGATGTGCAGCGGTTTGAACCCCGGGCCCCGGGTTAGACCTACCAAGCTGAGTCACGGCCATCGCCTAGTAACTGTCGGGAAAGTTTGATGCATACCTTGACAACCAATACACCTAGATGGAGGGCAGGGTAGATAGCCACAGAGTAAAAACTCTGGACTTACGTTAGGCGCGCAATATGAGTAATATCCGAGTTGTACTAGAGGAGTAACTCTTCGCCCGTTTTACGCGCCCACATCCCGCTTTAAGTGTAGCCCGGCAGGCGATCTGCGATCTGCTTGTACTCTGCACACAGCGGGTATTTGAAGGTCTATGTGGGTTTAATCGGATGGTTTGAATTGATGAAGGCAACTTGAAACATACATGCGGAGTACGGAGTACATCTAGTACATCTAGTACATCTAGTACATCTAGTACATCTAGTACATCTAGTACATCTAGTACATCTAGTACATCTCTCACAGGCTATGCTAGTACATGTCATGGAGACGTATGTTCAAATAAAAGTTAGGTCAATAATAACCACGTCACATCCGATACTCTTAGAATAGAACCCCGGAGAAGCCTGCAGCGCCGATCCCGATGGTATACACGAGCGATAGGCAAATAGGCACCCGAGATAAAAAGTGTTGAATCGAGATACAACGTGGCGAACCATGGGTTATTGGTGGACTTGCCTGAGTGGATAATTAGTTCTGGCGTACCACAGCCAGGGGGTTTCTAGTGAGTTCCCATGGGAATAGATTATACCATGAATTGTACACTTTTTGTAAAGTTGATAGAATTTTTGTCAGAATCATTGGTTGAAATTGTCCTAGATCGAACTTCTCCATCTCCATTCCAGACACATTTTATTCACAAGTAAATCCCATCTGCCATGTGCACATCCGATCAATGAGGCCAGAAACGAGGGGCAACGGAGACCTCTGACCGTACCGTGCACGCCTCCGTGTGGCACAGAGTGGCGGTTCATGTACGGAGTAGCAAATCGGTGCCGATTCCTCCTTCTTGCTGAAATACCCTTGGCTACGTCTATGGTGGTTCTTTGTTTTTACGCGTGGGATTGAATTCTTCGAGATGAGACGTTGTCCCTGATAATGTCATCACTACTTTGTAGAGATGTGTGCAGTCCACGCCACAACCATGGCGGTAGCGAAAATACATGTACGACATCCTCCGTACATTATTGTGTAACGAATTCACTCTAGATACAGTACCGAAGATGGACTCCGTACTCCGTGCTCCGTCGGAGGACGGAGCACAACCAGAAATCATAATTGCGGTCTAACCTTGGATCCATAAAAGCAACTACGGAGCACATCCTCCGTAGTGGTAACCGACCTAGGTAAGACACTTCGGGACTAACGCAAGCTGCTAGCCTCAGGTCCAGAAAGGTACGGTGGAGTCCATCCCTAAATTGGACTAGTTTAATACACCTTTCTCACGTTGGAGGGTTTTCCCCACGGCGCTAGATTTACCATACGATGACGAGTCCTTGCGCCCAACTTAGATTGGTCTAGTACATCCCTACTGTTGAGATTTACTCCGTACATGGATACTAGTTCGTGTACCCATCTATGCCGTTCCCAGTATATCAGATTGATCTTGATTCAGGCTCTGACCAAAGGGATCTTGAATTTCAAGCTCTAGTCCAGCACGTTCATCCAGACAAGATTGGATTTTCCAAAAAAAAAATGAAAAAAAAAATGAACAAAAGAAAACGTTAAACCAAAATTCCCCTTGCCCCACTACCAGCCCACCAATCAAAACACGACCAAGCCGCTTTATCTTAGAACAGCCACCCCTCTCTCTGCTCAGCCTCCGTAAATGTGCTCCTTCCCAAGGTTGTGGTATCGTATTACTTCCCCTTCGTCACCTTCCCTCTTTTTTTGCCTCAGGACGTTCCTCTTTTTCCAAAGGTCTCTCCTTTCCTTCTTTTAGCTTAAGTCTCCCCACTCCTGTCACTCCTTATTATCGTGAACTAGTCTCCCCTTTTCTTAAATACTCGTCTCCCCTTCCTTTATCGATATTATCAGACACCAGATTCTTATCATCGTTGCATTTCCGTACTTTGACTACCTCTTGACGGCCTGAGGGTCTGTGCAAACTCTCTTAAAACGACTTTAACGACTGACAAGAAAACGAACCGTTGGGACTCAATTGATTATCACGCTGCTTCTGATTGATTGTAAACCTTGGTGTCGGTCGCCTTCATCATGCGGCGCGGTCTCGTGATCTTCCTCCTCGTCAACCTCCTCATTCTCTCATTGCTCGTCCGCAGTGTCTCGACGCTTCTGGCACTGCTAGTCGAAGATGCCGCTGCCGATGCTATACACCGCGCGGAGCTGCCTTCGCCGAATTCGAGCCTGATCGAGCAACGCCCCCAGATTATCCCGAAGATCATTCACCAAACCTACAAGAATGAGACCATCCCAGAAGTCTGGGTTGAAGCTCAACAGAGTTGCATTGATTTGCACCCGGATTATGAATATATTGTACGTTCGCAACCGCCAGTCTGTCTAATCCAAGGCTAACAGAGGTCATTAGCTGTGGACAGACGAGAAATCGCGCGACTTTATCGCCGCAGAATACCCTTGGTTCTTGGAAACATTTGATGGCTACAGTTATCCTATTCAGCGCGCGGATTCCATCCGATACTTCATTCTCGCGCACTTCGGTGGAACGTACATTGATCTCGACGACGTGAGTGGATACCGCCCGAGAGACCGTGGCATTTCGTTTCTAACACAGAACCAGGGCTGCAACCGTCGCTTGGATCCTCTCCTAGCTTATCCCGCGTGGGTGCGCCGCACCGCACCCACTGGTATCTCCAATGATGCTATGGGCTCAGTACCCCAGCATCCATTCTTCCTCCGTACGATCGAAGTTCTGCAGCAGTACGATCGCCATTGGCTCCTCCCATACATCACCGTTATGTACTCGACCGGACCACTGTTCCTGTCTGTCATCTGGAAAGAGTACATGCGCGATGGACCGAGTGAGGCTGGGCGCGTACGCATTCTCATGCAGGACGAGTACAACAAGTTTTCTTGGAGCTTCTTCACCCACCACCGGGGCAACAGCTGGCACGGCAAGGATGCGCACTTGATCTTCTGGGTAAGTGACCTCGTCTGGTATCGAAATTCCGAGGAATGCTAACGTCTCGCAGATGGGCCAACACTGGGTCTTCCTCACTGTGTGTGGCTTCCTCCTCGCCGGAGTCTTTGGATTCTGTCTCTGGTGGAGCTACGGACGCGTCATGCTGCTTGGAGCCAAGTACCGCTACCGCTACTCCAAGATTCCCAGCATCAGCCCGTCGCGGGTTTCGACGTCACCAACACGACGCTCGCGACTCTCAGTCCCGACCATCCTGCGACGTGTCAGCTTCAAAGAAGATGAAGAGTCAGGCGGGGTCACGGAGACCTCGTACGAATTTGGACGTCGCGATGACTAGAGATCTAGAGATTGGCTTCTCGACTCACAACTTAGCCATTTTACAGCCTTTGTATATGTCTGTAACGATACGGCCTCGGACTTGATTTGTGCATCAACATTTATTGTACAACTTTTGCTCTTTCTTTCTGTGTTTAGGAGCGCGTTTTGCATGGTGTCTCAATCCTGTGGCGGGATCCTGGATTGAATGTTCACCTGGAGCAATTGGGTTTGGCTTTTGGACATGTGCGCAGACCCTTCGTGTCTATGTCTTGGTTCTGTTTTCACTGTCCCCCATCTTTTTATTTTTAATATCGTCTATTGATTTGTAAACAAGTTAGACTTCGCTTCTCGGGAGACAGTGGAACCATAGACATGTCTTGCACTCGGATCAGATATCTCCGGGGAGAATTATGAACCAAAAACGTCTTTCGACCATTCCTTGAAATCTAACGTAGGAGAACTGGATCATCTTCTGTGCAGTAATGTCGCAAATTCCCCTGGGAATCTGATACATGGACCTCAAAACACCAATCCTGAAACCATAATTCCTCCCTCCAATGACAACAGCGTTCCTTGCAGGGCCATATCGACAAGCTTTCCAAACGGTTCTGTCGAGTGTGGAGCATAGGTCTTAATTAAAATCAGCATGCTACATGGTTTTGTTCTTTGGTTAGAAGTAAATAATTCATCTCATTGTTTGGCGTGCGTCCTTGGTATTGGCCACCATCATCCAACATACTTCAATTCACGAGCATTCTCCGCGTCTAGCCTACAATGTACATACTAGCAATCGGCTATCTTTCCTCCGCCTCTCCAATGTATGTCCCGGCGGCCTTGGACAATGCAAGCCCTTGTTTCCTGGTCCCTCTGCCTCTGACAGACATGTTCGAGGACTTATAAAGACGACCTGTTTGCTCTTCTTAGCACTGAATCCCGATCTTCTCTGCATCATCCATCAACAACTAATCATCCTTGACATTTGATCCCTGCGTTGCACTATAGTTACTCTGCATCTATCCACCACCTACAAAATGCACCTCCCAACCCTCCTCCTCTCTCTAACCCTAACTCTCACAATCCAAACAACTGCAACGCCACTCCCAATCTCACTCTTCGCCCGCGATGCAGCCCTGACAGAATCTCAACTCATTGCCATCGCCCCCTCATCCAAATCATGCACCGACGCCCCAGCGGAAGGGGAATGCGCCACCGCAAAACAAGCCGCCAAATTCACTTCCCAATCTTTCGACACATACAAAGTAACCTCGAAAGCTGAACAAGCGGCCGTTATCAGTCTGATGGCGTTTGAAAGTGGTGATTTCAAGTACAATAAGAATCACTTCCCTGGCGTTGCGGGGCAGGGCAGTATGTAACCCTCTCTCTTCCCTGCAACATCACATCCGGATCCATCTTGTATGCGGTTTCAACATACTAACCATGTTCTTCTTCAGCACGTAATATGCAATCCCCCTCCTTCAACAAACTATACGCCTCCTCCCTGCCCGCACTCAAAGACAAACTCCCCAGCGTCAGCAACAGTCCAGCTGATCTCCTCGATCTCCTGCGCAGTGACGGCGCTACGGACTTTGGTTCTGGTGCTTGGTTCCTTACTACGCAGTGCTCGAAGGAGGTGCGGAGCGCGCTTGCTGATGGTTCCGAGACGGGGTGGCAGCGGTTTATCTCGGATTGTGTGGGGACTTCTGTTACCGACGAGAGGAAGGAGTACTGGGAGAGGGCTGTTAAGGCTATTGGTGTTTAGATTATGGTTGGTCAGGGATTGGGATTTCGGGTCTATAATTGTGATGTTTTTAGATTCGCTCTGTTTGGTTCTTGGAGCTGGTTCTTCGACAGATTGTGGATTTCTGTGTTTGCCACTTTGGATACTTGATAATTGATTTTGATGATTGACGGAGTATGGGAATAGGGCTTGAATAGGACTTTAGTATAACAAAACAAAAAAACATTGAGAATCCGGATTGATTTATTTCATTTCTTTTTCATACGTCATAGCCAAATTGCACCGCTCTCTATTTCATACCATTGCAAAGTATACCACACTATACATCGATCTCATCTCATTCATAAAACTTTGAGTTATCCAAACACCCCCTTACAACACACCCTTTGTACTAACAACATCCCCCGCACCAACCTCACCCGCAACCCTCCGCTTACAAGCATTGCGAATAGCAACAGCAAGCGCCTTGAACGCACTCTCCGCGCGGTGGTGGTCGTTATCACCATAAGTGCAACCGACATGCAACGTCACACCCGCCGCCTGTGCAAAGCTCTGCAATCCATGCGTGATCATCTCGGTGCTCAAGTCGCCGATCTTCTCGCGTCGGAAGCCAAGGTTAATAACCGCCCAAGGTCGGCTGGACAGGTCAATCACCGCCCACGAAAGTGCCTCGTCGAGAGGCGCATCGCCACGACCGAACCGCTCGAGGGATTGTCGTGCGCCCAGTGCCAATGTGAAGGCTTCGCCGAGTGCAAGGAAGGTGTCTTCTGTTGTGTGGTGGTCGTCGACTGGAGGTGGTTAGCGCATTGGCAGGGGTATTGCTTATCATATGATAATGTGTTCAGGGAGAACTCACTGTACAAATCACCCTTCGCCCGAACTGCAAGACTCATTCCACCGTGCTTGGCGAGAGCGTGCAGCATGTGGTCTAGGAAGCCGATACCGGTGCTGATGGTGATCTGCTGCGTCGGGGTAAATTGGGTCGCGTGGCCGGCATCCTTGGGTGGTACAATGCCTTTCTTAGCGGCTTCGGCTTCTTTAGGGTCTGTTGGGATAGGGAAGTGGGTTGAAGGTTCGTAGGGTGGGAGGACGCCGCCGTCTAGGGAAAGGGAGATTTGGATTTTGGTCTCGTTAGTGGATCGCGAGATGGTCGCTGTGCGTGCGGCGAGGGACATTGTGAGATTAGGGGTTTGGTATATGTCGAATTGACTGAGAATTGCATCGGTGTTTGTACGGAGTAGATGGTTGCTAATCGGGGTTTCTTTTTTGTCTGACTCGTCCGCGGGAGAATCATTGATCCGTACTTTTGGAATAAGGGTGCACTGGAGACCTAAGCTTAACAGATTTTAGGACATTGGCTAGTTCAGGTTCTAATTTTTTTAAACGTCCCTGATATCGGTCATCGTTTTCAATATTGCCATCAGAGTCTGAAATATACATCTTCCTTTTCGGCTTGTTTTCCATAGTTTATCGCCTTGCCGAACTCGGCTTCGATAAGAATCGACATCCACCTCGATTCCTTTTCCAACCCAGACTGGCCTCTTGTTCACCATAACTTACGACTGGACACATACATACCACCATGCCACCACCATCCAACCACAGGAGCGAGGTTGCACCCCCGGAGGAAATCACCTCGGTGGCCGCCCAAGGCTTCATGACCGGCGTGTTCCGGGTAAGCCACCGGACCTCCAATCCGTGAAGTCTCCTAGTGCACTCGCTAATATCCTCAAGTTTGGCTCCGTGTCTATCTTGGCCCATATGATTCTTGCCCTACCCCACCCCTTCGTCTTCTCCGCACCAAGTCCACCCGCGTATCCCGCAACACAACCCCGTCCGCGCCCATCCATCTTCTCCCGCAACTATCTCCGCTCACAACTCTACCATCGCCCTTTGGAGGGGTTTTCAAGCTGGATTTCCCCGGGATCCCGTATATATCGTGGTCTGACACCGCAGTTCAAGGTCTTCATACAAGTGGCAGCTATGACTCTGGGTGGTTGTATCTGGCAAGAAAAACGGGTGACGGAATATATCGAGCTGCTAAGACAGATGAAACGTGCAGAGCGACTGAAGGCTGAGAGGGCGGACGGGAATCGTTGGTAAGGAAGAGATTCAAGAGATATTGCCCGCTAGCTTTCTCGGCGATGCGAGGTCGGGACTTTGAGGCAGGGAAATTGGAAATTAGAACAACCTTCCACCACCAGACACCCTCTATTCGCCACTCGTTCAGAACACCTCCGGATGAGCCGAATCTCATTTCCCAGTTATTTCACACCTCTGCAAGGCCTCGCAGAATTGAGGTGCACACTCTGTAGCTGCTCCCGTCAATCACTGATCCCGAATGAACTTCGTCGCCGATGACGCCAGATTCCTGACGATACCCCCACTCCCCCTGATTACCCTGATCTATCATGATCTTCTTTCGCGTGGGCCCGAGAGAGATTATCCCTACGGAAGCAGCATCTGATGTGCCATAAACGCCGATCATCCTTCAAGGGTGGATCCCAGGTTTCAACCGATGATCCTATGTTGTTAATTGCAGTGTAGATCGTTCCAAGGGAGATGAATGATGGATAGGGCCCATTCGGTGTAATATATAGGCTCTAAGGTTGTTCTGGAATACAAAGAAGGGTCAAGGATCAGCACTATAGCCAAAGATACTAAAGAGTCCCATTTGGTTTCTAGAATCCCTGCGATCCTATAACGGCACTATCAGGTCTAGTGGAACGCCTCTTACGTGCTAATGTACTAGAGACATGCGAGAAGGCGCGAACGCATGTCTTGTTTTCACTTTTTGAGGGAGTAAATAAGCGATAGCCTCAAAGATCACCCAGTTGAAACGTTCAAGTAGGGCATGCGATTGAAAATTAAAATCAAAATAACTGACGAACTAGAAAAATACTCGTCGAAAAAAACCCAGCTGAAACGTCTGTTGATCGTTACAGTTGGAGACTGCATCCGTCAATTTCTCTTTAGTCTCCTTTTCCCTGTGGATTCATCTCGCTGCTTTCGTTCTACGCATTTGATCTTTCCTCTTATCTTCCCCTCTACCGATCTCACACCGGAAGACTGTATCACATTAGATCACTGAGTTGTTCGATATCACCTAACATTGTGGATTCTCCCCCTTCCGCAACCATCACCTCATCGCATTGTTGACTCCTTGTTCGTGTCTGGGGAAAGGATATCCTAGACAGAAGGAAGAATTTTCCTAATAGCACACGCCTATTGCTTCTCTCATGGCGCTGTGACAGTCTCCAGTATGCGCTACCTTCCCCTCATTCTTTCTCCGCTTCATTCTTCCTTCTCACGCTTTTAATATTGCCCCCCCCCCGTCATGACCTTTCAAACTGATAATTGATTGACCCAGTACCAACGACGTTGAGGTCGTCGATGAGATAAGCCTCCTTTCTCTGTAGACTTGCGCCACTACTCTTCCAACACCTTACGCAACTCCCCCTACTTCTGTACCACTAGTCTCCCCCCTCCCCCCTCCCTCCTCCCTCCCCCCTCCGAACCAGACATGGCTGAAATCATCGGTAAACGACAACGAAGAAAGAGCCTGGGCGTCTTCACTCCATCACTCACAACATCGACCTCAGTCCAGCCTCCAGTGCATGACCGAACACCCTCGGATGAAATCTTGAGCCTAGAGAAGAAGCCCCAACAAAATTCCGGCTTCTTTGGCCGGTCTTACAGTCCCAATGGAGGCTCCGATGGATCGAATAACCGCCGCCCTGGGACGGCAGGTTCCGACACTGCTGGCTGGCCAGCAGCCGTACCCGTTAATGAGACAACACCGCGCCCGCGGAGGAAGTCGCTGCACAAAAAGCGAGCCTCGGTCTTTGGATCTCTGAGATCATTGCACTCTTGGGAGGATGATGAACCTCTGAGTACCTCCGTGGGCTCGGCAGTAGACGAGCAGACCACGGCCACTCCACGGAATGGGACCTGGTCATCTGCAATCATCCACTACGGGGAAGTTCAGACGACCGGAGGCATGTGGAGGAAGAAAAGTCAATATTTGGTTCTCACAGATACCCATCTCATTCGCTTTAAGAACCAAAGCAAAGCCGCCGATGTTTTTGTTTCCATTCCCTCTTCTCACGCACGGGTTCCGGCTTCCCATCGCCAATCGATGTCTTCAGTCACTTCCCTGCCGGATGCGCAATTAATGGCGTCTGGAGACGCATCTGCTGGAATCCCATTAAACAGCATCATTGCGGTATACATGCTGGAGGATGCACGATTATCCCCATCGGTCGAAGTGGCATATCTCGATGAGCGCACACAAAAAGCCACAATGGTTCAGATGCAGACATCTGATCTGCAGGAACTGAACCTTTGGATGGTGGGCATTCGTCAAGCTGCCCAGATGGCTAGAGCAAATTTTCCAATGCCATTTAACAGGGGATCGATTGAGTATGTAACTCGTATGCTGGAACATGAGCGAGATTATGACCCAGAGGTGTTTCGCATGTTCCGAGTCATTCAAATCGCGTCCAGCAAGTCAGTCACCCGCTCTTCCTCTGATGACTTGGCCAAGCTGTCGCCCACGGGCTGCTATCTTGCCATTGGCGCACACAAGCTTCACATGCTGCCCATGCAGAAGACAATCAATCGATCGTCGGTCGTATCCCTGTCAGACTGGGAGGCTGGTACTTCATTTGGTCTGATGAATCTGACTGGTTTATCGATGGAGTACGGTGACGACAGTTTGCATCTGACCTTTAGAGTTCCTCTCAAGAAATCCTTCAATGTGTTCCTGGCCTCTGTTCATTCGGTTGAAGTCGCTTGCTGGATCCGACAACAAACTGAATATCTCCGTCCATTGTGGATCAGACAGCCGTACGAATTCGTTGTTCCAAAAGAATTGCACAATGACGACAACTTCCTCCCTGTTGATTTAGATGAAGATTATGGATGCTTCGACCGAACGTTGGTCGCTTACTCCGCCAGTTATGACATCGATACATCAAATATTCGATACACAATCGACCAGGAATGTGAGGATGCTCCATGCTTCCGTCTTCTGAAGCCTGCTTCTCCCAAAACTCCGCGGTACAACGCTTTAGAACTCATTGCGGTCATGCGCACACTTCGCTACAATGAATTCTTCCGGTCAATCTCGTTCCGCGGGGTCAATCTTGATGCATTGCAGGGCCTTCGTGATACTCTTGGAGTAGATGCCGACGTTCATCTCGACCGAGGAGGCGCCTCCGTGCACATTCCAGGCCAGACGAATCTGACTGTTCTCTCGCAAGAAGTGCGAGCTTTAGCTCTGAAGAGCAAATGGCTGCGCCGACTCGACTTCTCTTACTGCCTTTCACGAGTACCGACCCCAACCCTCGACAAGGGTACTCGTGATCCAGGCTGTGGTATTCCAGAGGCGATCTTCCCTGTGTGCCGCCGAGAATTGACCAGCGTGGATTGGGTGGTGCTCAACGGCATCAAGCTGGGTGAGTCCGATCTGGACTATCTCGTCGATGCGGCTTCGCAAAGGCGTAGTCATCTGCGAGCTCTGGAGGTCGGGGACTGTGGATTATCCGTGCATGACCTAGACCTTCTTCTTTCGACTATTGTCGCACAAGAATCAACACTTGAGGCAATCAACATCTCAGGCGTGCAGGGCCGATTGAACCCTAGTGTGATCCAGCAATATATTGGCTACTTCGGACAAATCCGCAAAATCAACTTATCTCGCATCTCACGGACGTCTGGCAGCGACCCGCTGATCACGGCCGAAATGCTGTTCAACTGGCGACTTGAAGAGCTGGCTCTTAGTCGGACGGTTTTGAATCGCGAGACCGTGGATGCCATTGCTACTTACCTGGCTAGCGATCGCTCTCGAAACCTTCGTGTGCTTCGTCTGGATCAGTGTGGTCTGACCGGAGAAGATGTGGCCATGTTTATGCACTCGATGTCCATTGAACCTGATTCCCCGCGCAGTCTCCATCTGCATGTCAATGAGAATCACATTGACAACGGCTGCTCTCACGTTTTCAATGCTATTGCGAAGAATCAGACCCCCTCGCATCTGTCGATGCGCATGATAGATTTCAAAAAAGAAGACAATTTCCGCGAGCTCGTGGATTCACTTCGGAAGAACAGCTCCCTCAAGTTCCTGGATATTTCGAAGGCTTCCCTCCCATACGATGCTAGTCCTGAGACTTGCCGCTCGTTGCAGGTGATGCTCGAGGATAATGAGACTCTTGAGGCTTTGGACATTAGCGGTGACAATGCGCACCTTGATGTTGCACGCTTCGGTATTGGTCTTAATCTTGCGCTGACTGGCCTGAAGAGAAACAAATCTTTAAAGGTCCTGAGAATTGAACACCAGAAACTCGGCCTTCAGGGTGCGAATACGCTTGCCTCTGTCTTAGAGGAGAATGATTCGCTGCGTGAAGTACACTGTGAGAATAATGATATGAATCTGCAGTCCTTTACAGTGTTAGTCAACGGCCTTCGGTGCAACCACTCCCTTCTCACTCTCTCCTCTATGGACCGAGATCGAGCCCTGTCACTGGACAAAGTACGCCGAGAGGTCGATCATGTTCGATGGGAGTCTGGCAGCAGCAACCAATCTTCCACGGCAAGCTCGGTCCGTCGCACTCTGTATGCAGCGATGAGTGTTGGTCAAGGGGGACAAGGGCACAGACTGAGCAAAGTACCACCGCCTAGTGTTGCCTCGGCCTCGGAACACTCTCCAACCATCAACCCCAACGTTGAACTTGTCTTGCAGTCTCTGAACGAGAGATGGGACACGGAAGTCTCCCGGCTCAATCGATACCTCCTCCGCAACTATAATATTGCCCATGGGATTGAGGAAATGGATGATGATTTTGATGATGATGATGATGCTGCCAGCGATGGACGGCCCGGGACAGCCGCGAGCCTGGGCACAATGCTTGACAAGCTCAAATTCAACGTGTCCGTGTCAGCAGATGAGATCCGGTCGTCGCCACCAGATGAGTCTCCTGCTGTCATTCGACTTTCAGAATCCTCCGACACCCCATCCCAGTTTTCGTCGAACATCGAGACCACTCCAATCCAACCAAAACGCCCTTCACACAATACCCGCCGCCCTCATACCGCTGCTCCTACACAATCCGTTCCATCCGGTCACTCTCGCCTAGCTCTCCCGGTCCCAGCCGTGCCTCCAGCAGTTGGAAAGGCAGAGAGCGTCCGCAGTGGACGCAGTTCTTCCAGCAACGCCTCAATAGGCACCGGCAGTACACGCAGAGCCTACGGCGTCGCCTCCTCTACCCTTAGAGGCTTCCTCAGCGGCACCGCGTTGAGGGAACGTCGCCGTGCGGATGCAGCACGCCCCTCGCCTGTGTGCGTCAACAATGACAAGCCGCCTCAGCTAGACTGGGTACCACCAAAGCTTGACTTGTGAGGGCTCTAGTAGCCTTCCTTGTACTCCTATCAACATATCAAAATACCCCTATTTCTACCTTGTACAGCATTCTCCAACAAGAAACGAAGCCTGGCCCCTGCAGTACATATATACGACGAACCAAGTTTTGATTGTACACTTTTGTTCTTTTTCTCCCTGTGAATCCTTTTCTACTTCTTTTTTTTTTTGCCCATTGACTCCTAACTCAACCCCTATTCAAATTCCCATTTCTTGAAATCGGCCAGTCGGCACTGATACCCTGGCGTTCCAATTTCTTTACAGAGACACCGCATTCTCCGGGCGTTCCATACTCATTGCTCATTTTCAATTCTTTTTGCCAATATCTCTTACCAACGCAATCGATATCCAACCAGTGTCCTATCTGTTTCATCGCTTGGCTTGTTTTTCTTTGCTCTCTTGCTCTCATCGGAAACTGTTCTCATTTTGCGCGCTAGCGCGTTCATCCATGGCTAATGTTTATTGGGGCTTGGGCTGTTTGATACTCGTGTTCAATGTGGTGGTGTCTTTGCGCTTGTCCCTTGTTCCTCATTCTGGGAGATTCCATATCGGTTGGATAGGCATCACAACACCATCGTTCCTTTTTGTTTGATTACCAGGTCTCGAGTGAGGCTGAGTAGTTTAGGCGTTTCTTGTCTGGGAGTTACGCAGTAGATAGATGCTACGAAAATCCATCACCTTGAAACATTTCCTTCTTAAGCTTCAAGAAAAGGACCGAAAATCCAAGGTCGAGATCGTCATCTATCCCTGTATACATCTCAGTTCCCACACCTATAATTTTGGTGACTGGCTGAACGAGAACCAAAAACATCCAACCATAAACACGTTTCAGTCTAACTATGTAACAACCCAACGCCATCAATGTATATCTCAAAATAAAGTACAATGGGAGAGGAATGAATCTAAAACTTTACAAAACGGATTCCCCTCCCCTTACCCCCAGATCTTCCATCTCAATACCCAACTCCAGAACGTAAAATTTAGCAAGATCATCACATCTCACTAGAATCCTTGTAAACAAGGATCCCACGCTCACGATCCTTCTCATCCATCCGCTTCCGCCAAGCCCGTCCTCTATCAGTCACCCTTTTCAAAGTCGTAAAGAAACTCCGTCCATGATCCTGCACGTTCTTTCTCAACGCGACATTGCGTCGTTTCTTGCACGCCCGCAGAACCTGGTTACTCTCCTCCACAGTAAGCTCGTTGAGCTCGTAGTCAACAGTCCACCTGTCGCCGTCGGTGAACCACGTAGGCCGCTGCACCGGAACATCGTTCACCTTGCTCTTCACCACGAGTGCCATCCCGAACGCGTTCTCGTCGTAGTCGTTGAAGTTGGGGCGATCGCGCTTGGGGACAGTCTTGGTGGGCTCGACCGGGGGTTCCGGGGCCTGGGAGAGTTCGAAGGAAGGGTCGTACTCGGCCTTTTCGGCTTCAGAGGCCTCTTCGCCTTCTTCTTTGGGGAAGAGGGAATCCGCCAGGGATTCAGCGGAGGGATCCTCCTTTAGATGGACGGGTTCGGCTTCGGCTTCCGCCTCCGCCTCCGCTGACCCAGCCTCTGCATAGAGGAACTCGGCTTCGGTTGAGTGCTTTGAATAGAGGATCTTGAATTCGGAGTCGGTTGGCTCGTCTGGATAGAGAGCTTCATTTTCGTCTTCCTCGTCAAGATCCTCTTCTGACTCCTCCTCTAGCTCGTCGGCCGACTCCTCGGCTGACTCGTGCTCCCCCACTGCTGCCTCCGCACTCCTGTCGATGAATTGCTCTGGGTTGAGAAGACGGTCCTGGATGGCATCGATGTGGGCTTTGTTCTTCGTCTGGATGGCTTCAATTTCTTCGTCCGTGACAGGCTGCGCGACAATGTACATGTACGGGACGGTGTCCTCGCGGGTCTCAAAGTGGAAACGTAAAGACTTCTTGGGATACTTCTGTGTTGCCTTGTCGAGGATCTTCTCCCACAGACCGAGACTCAGTTCGAATTCTTTGTCTCCAAGTGCGGTGTTGGGTGTGCCGTGCAAAGCCTGATCCATCTCGTCGAGAGGAATGTATTGGAAGCCGAAGATGCGCTCGATGTTGTGATACGCGACAAAGATGCCGTCCATGCGGCCAACGCGGACCTGCAGGGAATACTTGAGGAAGGCGGCGCGGATCATGTCGAAGTATTCGCGTTCGTAGGACTCCCACTTGCCATACCGGCGTCTGATCTCGTAGCCCATTCCGCGCTCGTGCTCGGTGGCCTCCATGCGGATGGAAACCACTGCACGTGTTTTCAAGTCGAACATGCCAGTACCTGGTAGTCTGGGATCGTAAGCGTCGAGTTGTGATCGCATGAGGAATTTGCCAACGGTGCTGTAGTGGTATGACTCTGGGGTGGCTGCTTCTTCCTCGGCAGTGATCTTGTTTGCGTCACTGCGGCGGTAGCGCTCAAATTGTTCTTTTGGCATAGTGAGTTGCTTCTCCATGGACTTGCCCAGGTTCATAAGAATATTAGCGTAATCGTATTCCTTGTCAGCATCAATGGCGTAAATATCCTCCTTCTCCTTATAACGAAGGAACATGGCAGTCGGCGCTCGAAGGAGACGAGTGAAGGTCCGTAAAGGGTCCTCGAACCCCTGAGTAATTTTGCTAGTGTCGACAGGCCGCCACGCGGACAGAAGATAATGGAAATGAGCGAGAACTGAAGTCATGCTCGACGAGGAGCCGTAGTATTTCTTCTCATTCTTTTTGGTCATTTCGCAAGCCGTCACATCTTGAGAGGATGTGACATATGGCTTCAACGTACTAAAGTCAAATTCCGTTACGGGCATGATCTGGTCGAGGTAGGGGTCGAAATTGTAAACAAGAGACCGAGGGTCACGTAGCTGGTAGACACCGGGACTGCTTGATCTTAGTATATCGATCAGTTGTAGGGTAAACTCAAGAACTCACTTGAAAAGCACTCGGTCGAGGCCAAAAGCGACACGTGGGACAGGAGGCAGGGGGACATGCACCTCTAGATTGAAAAATTAGCCCAAATTCGCCCACATTCAACAGTGATGTCAGAGTTCAGAACTCACCTTTTAAGCGCAAGTTTTCGTCCCTTGAGGAAAGACGCCCGCGGTCCTTAGACGTAATGTATTTTTGAAGAAAATCAAGTACTTCCTCCTCTTCCTCTTCCTCCTTCTCTCCCTCCTCCTTCTCTGGCTTATTTGGACGTGCAACGCCATTCTTGGAGCTGGTTTCCAATATTTGAGCCATCACATTGCTAGTGGACTTCAAGTTAAGCGTGCTCTTCTTGGGTTTACTGGCTGCTGGCGTATCTGCTGAGCCTTCTGTTAGAACCTCGGCTTCGGGTTCACTTTCTATATCCTTTTTCTTCTGCGACGTTCGAGCCTCATTTTTGGCATCGGCCAGCCGTTTTTCCTCCTTCATTTTGGCCTTTCTTTCCCGTTTAGCTTCCATATCGGTCATCACCTTTTGTTGCAAAGCCTTAATTTTTTCTGCTTCCACCCGTGCTGCCTCTGATGATGCAGCCTCTAACGGTACGGCCTCCGATGGTGTGGCCTCTGGCAATGCTCCCTCTGAAATTGTCCCCTCTGACTGTGCTGCTTTGGCCTGCTCTACTTCCAAATTCACTGCTTCGGGTAGCGCGATGTCTCCTTTGTCCAACGTTGACGTGTCAGCCCTGAACTTTTCGAAGAGCAAGCGATGCCGTTTTTTGTAATTGTTTTTCTGTGAAGCGGTCATCTCAGCCCATGTGGAAGCAGTGAGTGGTCTCGCTTTACGTTGCCACCGCAGGTATTTTTGGCGTTTGGCAGAGGCAACATCTTTTTTCTCGGGAATTTGGCCCTATAGCACACACACACTGTCAGGATTTGTCTCATCAAGTTGTACTTTTGGAGTGGCATACATTAGGCAGCAGTGGCACTGAAGACTCGGTCGACGCGTCAAATGAATTGGCTTCCGGCTTTATTTCGACTGAATCGGTACGGAGTGCTGATATGCGGTGAAACTGGCGCAAACTGAGCGCGCCGGGGCGCGCTAGACAGGAGAGACAAACATGTCGGCTTAAAGGGCCTGACACAGACCGCGAAGAGGTCCGAAGCATTCAGGTCAACTGTCGACAGGTTATCTGGGAAAGGTTATTAATTGAGACGTCCCCGAAAAGTAGTGGAATTGAGAATTCGAGAATTCCAGAAATCCGTCAATAAGCCACCAGGCGAACCTTCAAATTGCCTCTCCGGTTTTTTTTCTGCCGGAAGATTAGGGTCACCGCTTTGTTATCTTGGTGCCTGGATGCCTGAGGTGGCAATATTTGATATGAGATGAAACGACAGGATTGAATATTACTTTTAGGGATTGTTTGTGTATCTCATATGTTGTATTTCAGTTGAGCCTAAGTATACTAGAGTGTTCTAAAATGACTACAATACTCATATCTCGTTGACCTGTATACGAGAGATGTTCATTTGCAATAGTATAGAATCCTGCACACTTATCTAGTCTTAGTACTTAATAAAACTAATTAAATCAGTTATGATTCAGATCTAAACTGTCAGACCTATTGAATCTGCTGAATCCTATCCATATCCATCTTTTTTCAAGTATAACTATACAACTTTTGCCTCAGCCGAGATCACAGGGTAGAAATCCTGGGGTCGGAGAAACACCCAGCCGGAGGGCAGAAAAAAAGTTGGAAAGTTTAACAATCTTCAAATCTCCCATTCCTCCATACAACCTTGGAAGTTGCTTCTCAGGTCCCTGTGAAGTAAGTAGAGTGTTGATTTTCTTATTCTCAAGTCTTTCCTAACTGTTCACCCCATTTCATTGCTCTATGACCTGCTTTCTGTGAAGGAGGGGCACTACCTACCCCGCGGAGTTTCCTACCCTATATACCAATTATTAACACTACCGCAGTCGAGACGCTTCCCCAATCATGGCCTCCGAACAATTGCGCATCCTCGTTGTCGGCAATGGTGGCCGTGAGCATGCCTATGCCTGGAAGCTGAGCGAATCCCCCTTGGTCGACATTGTCTATGTCGCTCCCGGAAACGGTGGCACAGGCCTGGGTACCAACAGCAAGATCACCAATGCCAATGTCAAGGGTGACGACTACCCTGGCCTCGTAGCTTTCGCACAGAAGCACCAGGTGAACCTCGTAGTGCCAGGCCCCGAGGCACCTCTCGTTGATGGCATCCAGGGTTATTTCCAGGCTGGTGAGTCACACATGCCACTTTTTTTTCTCTTTCTTTTCCAAAAAGTCACTTTTTGAGCTTTATATCAATTGCTTTGAATGATTTTTAACAATGCCATTCAAAAACAGTCGGCATTCGATGCTTCGGTCCATCCAAGGCTGCTGCCCGCATGGAAGGCTCCAAAACCTTCTCCAAGGACTTCATGCAGCGCCACCAGATCCCCACCGCCGAATTTGGAAACTTCTCTGACTACGAGTCCGCACGTCGCTACCTTGACTCTGTGTCGCACAATGTGGTGATCAAGGCTGATGGTCTGGCTGGTGGTAAGGGTGTGATCATGCCCACTACTAAAGAGGAGGCCCACAAGGCCTTGAAGGAAATGATGGTGGACCACCAGTTCGGCGAGGCTGGCAAAGAGGTCGTGATCGAGGAATGCTTGGAGGGTGATGAGCTGAGTATCCTCACTTTCAGTGACGGTTACACTATTCGCTCGCTCCCTCCAGCTCAGGACCACAAGCGCATCTTTGATGGCGACCAGGGCCCCAACACTGGTGGAATGGGTTGCTATGCGCCTACTCGCATTGCGCCGAAAGAGGTTGTGGATGAGATTGACCGCACCATCATTCAGCCTTCCATTGACGGAATGCGAAAGGATGGTACGTTTGCTTAAAGTATGCATTCTCAAAGCATGTTACTAATCCTGTCTAGGCTTCCCCTTCGTTGGTATCTTGTTCACCGGTCTTATGATGACCAAGAACGGACCTAAGGTCCTTGAATACAACGTCCGTGGTGGAGACCCGGAGACCCAGACTCTGCTGCCCTTGCTCAGCAAGGACACCGATCTTGCACAGATCATGGTGGCCTGTGCTGACCACTGGCTGGACGGAGTCTCGATCAAGATCGAGCCCAAGTTCTCTACCACTGTTATTGCTGTTGCTGGCGGCTACCCCAACGCTTACGCCAAGGGCAAGACTATCACTCTGGCCCCCGCACCTGCTGGAACCCTCATCTTCCACGCTGGCACAACTCTGTCTGGCAACGAGTTGCAGACCTCTGGAGGCCGTGTAATTGCCTCCACAGCCACCGCCTCAACCCTCGAGGAGGCCGTTGCTAAGAGTTACGAGGGCATCAAGACCGTCAGCTTTGAGAACGTGTTCTACCGCAAGGATATTGCCCACCGCGCTTTCCGCCAGACCGCCAAAACCTCGCTCACCTACGCCCAGGCCGGTGTCTCCATCGACGCCGGCAACGAGCTCGTCAACCAGATTAAGAGCTCCGTCCGCCGCACCAAGCGCCCCGGCACTGACGCCGTCATTGGTGGCTTCGGTGGCCTCTTCTCTCTACCCGCTGCCAACTCCGTATACCACCCTCACTCACCAACTCTGATCGGAGCCATTGATGGAGTCGGCACCAAGCTCAAGATCGCCCACTCAATCGGCATCCACGACACCGTCGGTATCGATCTCGTCGCCATGAACGTCAACGACCTCGTCGTCCAAGGTGCCGAGCCCCTCTTCTTCCTGGACTGCTACTCCTGCGGTCACCTTGACGTGCCCACCGCTGCGGCCTTCGTCACCGGTGTTGCCGAGGGCTGTGTCCAAGCCGGTTGCGCTCTGATCGGCGGTGAGACCGCCGAGATGCCCGGCCTCTTCGTCGACGACTCCTACGATGCCGTCGGTGCCGCCGTCGGCGCTATCAACACCACGGGCGACAACGCTCGTGCCATCCTCCCGCACACAGAAAACATGCGCTCCGGCGACGTTCTTCTCGCCCTCGGCTCCTCCGGTCCTCATTCCAACGGCTACTCTCTCGTCCGCAAGATTGTCGAGCGTGCCGGTCTGAGCTACACCGACACCGCACCTTTCTCCATGCCCGGTCTTGACGCCGGCGTCTCCGTCGGCCGTGCCCTCCTCACCCCTACCCGCATCTACGTTAAGTCCATCCTTAGCGCACTGAACACCCACGGCTCTGCCATCAAGGGTCTTGCCCACATCACCGGCGGTGGTCTCACTGAGAACATTCCCCGCATGCTCCCAGATACCCTCACTGCTCAGGTTGACGTTAGCACCTGGACCCAGCCTTCTGTCTTCTCTTGGCTCCAGCGTGCCGGTAACGTCTCCTCTGTTGAGATGGCTCGTGCCTTCAACTGCGGTGTTGGTATGATTATTGCCGTCGACCCTGCCTCCGAAGCCGCTATCCGTCAGACCTTCGAGGCTGCTGGTGAGACTGTTTATCGTGTTGGTGAGTTGCGTGCTCGCGCCGAGGGCGAAGAGGGTTGTGTGCTGTCTGGACTTGAGTCTTGGTCTGCGTAATATCTACGATATTGATGTTAAAACTTGTTGATTGTGATGTTGACTTGATGCATGATGCTTTTATATATGTATGGAGAAAATGATTTGCCTGGGTTATATATCTGAAGATTCTTTTTTTTGGTGTTTATTGCTTCTCCCCATCTTTCTCTGGCTGCCTACCCTAACATAAGGCTCTTGGATGTGTCCCGAACTAACGCCGGTTTTCCTACACGATGCATGAAAATATACTTACTGTTTGGAAAGAAATCCATTGATCTTGTGTTGTAACATTGAATCAATACCCTCTCTACAACTCCATAAATCAGGGCAACTCCAACATCTCACTCCTAACCCTTCAAACTCTTCTATCGTTTCGGCTTGGGTCCATCATGTGAACTTGGAAAGAATAAACACACTGCTCCTCCTCGATCTCTCCTCACTCTACTCTTGACCAATCCTCTTTCCAACACACTTTCAATTTTCAGCTCTCTTATTTGAAAACTTTCCCTAGTTTCTTTCACCAACCTCTTCCACCTGCTGTCATAATCGAATACCTGCCGAGCTAGTGTCTTCTCTGCGAACGTACTCCCTGAGAACGTGCCTTTCAGACCCCCACTCCTAACCCGATCCCCGCCACCTTTGAAGGCTCGGAATCTACCTTGAAGAACTACGAGATTATCTAACCTACTCTTTCTCTCTACAGAAGTGCTAGTCAGTATACAATGGTTTCAACAAGGGCCTGATCCTGTTCATTGGTCTCTATACAGGCAGCCAGAGGCTGGTAATCTACCAGGCTACACAAGTAAGGATCCTATTAACATCCACAACACCCACTTGTCCGATGTGAGGTATTGCCACAGACACCTAAACAAGCGGAGCAGAACATTCCAAAGGCCATCGCACATACACAATAGCCCGTGTTTTATATCTCGCCACGCCTTCCTATGCTCACCTCGACGCCGGCTTCGACGGAACAGTCAGCAACTATCTTAACAAAGCCATATGCGATGTTCCACTGACGAGTTATCTTGATCTTCGTATGGGTAGAAAGAGTCAATCTTACCAGTGGGATTTGTCACCGCCGTTGAATGAAGTCATTGCCAATGTAAGGATGGTGATTCCACAGCCGAGCGTGTTCTAACAAACAAATCGTGTACATCGAGCATAGCTAGAGCAGACGGTGAATTTAAAGGCAGATGAGATTCGAAGGGCGATGCACGATATTTGATCTAGCGGTCCTAGGGACTTGTGGTAGTACACT